AAAAGTATAGTTGTCTGTTAAGGTATTTCTCCAATACAAGAAACTGGTTTACAGTTTCTAGGCAATTTATTTTGTAGGGAAAGCGTTCTGGAGCCAACTCATCCCATGTATCGTCTTTGAAGCCTTAGTAATAATAATTGATGCCCCCAAAAGTCTTCTCTTTGCTCTGTTGAATTTAACAATTGTAGTTTTCAGTTGCTTGTTTTAAACTGTCTGCACTAGCTATTTCCATTAAATGCAGCGTATATATGGAGCTGTTTCTTATATTCAGTCTTGTATAGCAAAATCAATGTAACCAACAAAAATATTCCATTTGGAGAAGAATCATGAGACTTTATGTATGTTGTTGGAAAACTAAGTTCCCTTTCTTTAAACATTCATGTGTTCTTTGTATGTTTGTCTTTTTAACTAGAAAAATATATAAAAGTTTAAAGGAATGGCTTTCTGCTTGTCTTTTTTATATTAATACTGTATTTGGTGCTTAGGTGATAATAACTGAAGTATAATTGTGTAGCATTTATAAATAGTATGATTTAGCTTTTATCAACCTCAAAAACTTCCTTACCAAGAAAACTTACTTACCATTTCACACATGGGATAATACCTTTTGTAACAGTCTGAATTTTCAATGTGGCTTCTGAGCACAACAGACCCATAATGTAAATATCGGCCTGATATGAGACGTTTGCTATTTTGGCGCTCTTCCTACAAAATAATGGCTTAAACTGTTTTTTGTGAGACACGTACTCTAACAGACAACGTCTGTGCCTTTATCTGTGATTTTGCTCCCCCACCATGCACGGAATAATTTCCAAGTTTGGTCTGCCAGCTGCTACCCTCTAATTCAAATCCCTCCTTAACCTCACCTCTGCAGTGCCCACAAGAAGTGAGTAATAATCTATTACATTAGAAACTTAGCTGAACAGTCAGGACGTGCACTGCTTAGACAGTCTGCATGGTGATTGCTGTGATTGCTTTCCCTTCTCACCACCTCCTGTCCTTACTGATTGTTACGTTCATTTAGGTTATGTCTCAGTTCCTGACCCAAAGAGTTTACCATTAATCTATATCTCTCTGTTTAGTTAAAATCTAGTATGCTCTTGGGTGTTATGAACATGATCAATTAAATGGCTCAGAATATTCTTTATTGTAGGATGTTTTGAGGTTGAGCCTTTTAGAAACATCAAGTTGATTGGCCTCTATCAGAAGGCATGTACCACTCTGATTGCATTGCAAGATATAAGCAGAATGATATTAAAATCTTGGTGATTTCCCCCCCTCTATTCTGTAGGGCTTAAGATGTAGCTTGAAAACAAGAAGTAAGATTCAGAAAGATATCTAGTAACTCATAATGCAGAAGGTGAAAACCCCAAAGTTAACCTAACTCTTGGACCAATTTAGAATTTGAGACATTATTGCTAGTGAGGACAAGGAGAATTGTTGCTGAGGGCCATTGCTACAGAAACAAAGGAAAAAACAGTCACTTTGTTAATGGAAGTGCTGCAGCAGATGTGGAATTTATAACTTTGCACACACTGAAAATGTTAAAGAAAAACTGCAACCATTTTGCTCAGTCCAGCAGTTTAAAAGCTTATAGGCTGAGAAGCGCTTCTCACTAGAATAAAACTGGGATTTCGTAATCTTTTCATTTGTGATGGTCACTTTTAAATCTAATGTTGGAGGCATGTAGGTTATTGAAATGACTTTTGACACCAACAAAAAAGTCCAGTGAAGAATCTCCAAGCTAATTTCTAGCCTGCTTTGAGGCTGGTTGAGTCAGCTGTCTGACTTTTCTGTAATGTTTAAAAATGAAATGTTTTGAACATTTGTAATAGAGCACAATGAAAACTCAACTACAGCTTCTTTCATGGAGCTCTTACCTCTGATTACATCACTTTTTTGCCTTCTGCATGAGAGGAACATCCATCTGAGCCAATGTTACAGGAACATGAAGGGCTCACCATGCTATAGCATGTGGTTTGACAAGTGATTAACCTAGTCAGCTACTTGTAACCAAAGCTGAAAGTAAAGTGTGTGGCACTATTTTGCAGAAAGCTGTGATGCTAATGGAGAGGCAGAGAACTCATGCAAATAAACTTTTATTTACTTCCCTGGTTTATAATATTTCACTAGACTTCTGAAAACTAATTGGGCAGCTTGACTTCTGAATGACCTGTATTTTATTGCTAATTATGGGGCATCATCAGTATGCATGAGGCTGTGTAGAGAAGGCGGATGAAGTCATGCTTCAAGAACAGTGGTTCTCAACCTATTTACCACTGTGGGCCGCATATGCAGCTCTCTGTGCTATGTGGGCTGCATCCACACAATAGATATATTACCTGTATGGTCCTGAGGATGTTACATGGGCTGCAGCTGTGCGCTCATTGGGCCACAGCAGGCCGTGGGTTGAGAACTGCTGCTCAAGAAGCTTATATTTTAAACAGGACAGCCGACAGTTCAGAGTCTTCCTGTTCCCCTTCTTCTTAATACAAAGAGAAGTCTTGGACAGATGAAAAAAACTGAATCTGTGACATTTTATCACAGTGATGAACCTATAGGGCTACTCATGAGCAGTTACCATTCCATTTAGTATCACTTTTCAGGAAATGTGTGATTCCACTTACTTGTAGGATCACCAGTATTTGTGCTTTTTGTGTGGTTACATGTGCAATTGATCTAACATAGACTTCAAGGCCAGAAGGGACTATTCATATAATTCAGAAAGATATATTTATACAACATACACAATATATTCCGATGCAGAAGATCTCATTCTTCAAATGTTAAAATATGCCAAATATGGAATACATAAGACCACTGGAAAATTATTTGTATGCTGGTACCTCTAAATTGGCACTACGAATTTAAGATTTGTCTACATGGGGAAGTTATTCTGGAAGAAGACAGGGTTTAAATTTTAAAGTGCCACAGCTATTCTGGAATAACTCCCTGCATGGACACCCTTATTCTAGAATAAGGCCTGGTCTACAGTTAAATTTAGCTACATCACTAGAGATGTGAAAAATTCATACTCCTGAGTGCTATAGCTATGGTGACCTAACCCCTGGTGTAGATGCAACTAGATTGATAGCAGAATTCTTCCATCAGCCTTGCTACCACCACTTGGGGAGGTGGATACCTAAAGCAATGGAAAACCCTTCTGTCACTGTAGGCTGCATCTATACTATGGGGTTATGGTGGCATAATAGCAGTGCTATAGGGCACTGTAGTCCCTGTAGCATAGACAAGCCTTAGGAGTGTCCACATGAGGAGTTATTGCAGAATAGCTATTCCAGCCAGATTTCCCTATGTAGACAAGTCCTTATTCAGATAGTTGCAAATTCTTTCACATTTTTTTATGCAGTTCTATAAAAGGTAAACACATGGACTCAGAAGTGCTAATATTTAGTCAACTATTTTCTTAATGTTGGAAATGTAGATCTTTTCCTACATATGAACATCTTTTGCTTTATATCACTTTGTAAAGTAATTTGAGTGTAATTCAAAAGCACTATAGAGGTGCTTATTACTGCTGTGCAGGTCTAAAGCAACACAGATTCTCTCTTACAGCAGGTGCCTGGCAGTGTACGCTACAGATATGAGACACTTCCATAATCCCTTGTTTTGAGTTGCTTAAGCTTTAGTTTTGGGCCTGAAATTTTCTGTAGTTGACGTTGGCTTTTTTTTTTTTTTTTGTAAATGTTTGAAGAAAAAATGGTCAGCTGTTCTGGATTTTGTTTTAGTTTTGGAAGAGTGAAAAAGTCTCTTTCATTTTTAAGTATATCAAGTTGCTTTCTGACTCTTATATAATGAACTGCCCAATATTGTAGTACCAGATTTTCAGAATGGCTATTCAGATCCTTTTTTATTTATGGAAAAACAAATGCTAACATTTTAGAAACTCCTATTTTGCACTATTAATGTTAGGCGTTCCAGTTTATTTTACTACTGACAGTGTCTTCATAGTTTATATCTCACCTCATACAGTTTTCAGTGCAGAAATAGATTCAGGATTGAAAGCTGTATGTACTTTAGAATGAAGAACCCTTTCTGAGTTTGGGATCGCCACAGAAAGAAGGTGCCTTTCAAATTCCTCTAATCTAAATAGCCCCCAGAATTTTTCTTTGGGATGGGAGGAGACAAGATGATCAAATTAAAATGCTAAAAATCTTATATTATGTAACATTAAGTTTATGAAATTAAAAGTCTGAAGTCAGAAATGCGAAAGTTATGGCTTAACATGAAACCAGAACATATGCATTTTGTGCATATGCATTTTGCAATCATACTGTTTCAAAATAAAATTTATTAAATATGAAATTTTTTTACAATTTTAGATACATGTGTAATATCTGTAATATTGATATGCTTTATTCTAAAGTACTATGGTATCAGCACCTTTTAGTAGAATAAAGATGCTATAATTCACACTTATTTGCTTATAAAGTTGCCACTTCTCTTTCTGGACATACACATTCGTGTTCTCAGTTATGACTCTGCAGTGGTACTTGACTCTCTAACTTGAAACATCAGGTAATTACTTTTGTGACACATAGCACTTGGTCATAAATACATGATAACTTTAGTATGAAAAGGGCTAGTATTTAAGAGGTAACACATCTTTAAAGTGAAATTGGTTTAGAAGTGTTCCTTCACTGCTATGTTCCTTGGCCTGTTGTAGATGTAGAAATGGTATCTTTTTAAGATTAGTAAAATGATTCTAAATTTGGTTTTCTCTTGATAGAGGAAAATGTTATAGGAGTTTTAACATTTATCTCTGCTTTTGTTCTTTTTAAAAAAGATGTAAGGGAAACTTTATTGGGATAAAACGCTTCTTGCTTTTTGAGATTGGTTTTTCTCTTCAGCACCAGTAATCTGGGTAGGTTTTCTGTACTCAACCAGTTTCCCTGAATACTTGAGTTCAAGAGATGTCTAATTTTAGCAATCTTATTGTCTTGTTTTTATTGAATCTGATACATATTTAATAATTTCAGAGGTCGCAGCAGTGGCAAAGGGCCGCCTCTGCCTTCAGTAAGTACATATTTCATTGTTTCTCATAGTACTGTCTTGATTTGCATGGAAATTTAATATCTAATAACTTAAAAATTTCAACTCTTGTTTCAGGGAAATAAACTTAAATCTCTAATATTTCGGTTCAGTGTAGATAGGTAATTTAAGACAGTTTACTGTCTGCTATTCTCAATTGTCAAATCTCTCTTGGTTTTAATACCTTTATGGATATTCTAGCCATTTTCACAGACACTGTTAGGAAACACTTGGTCAAACATTGAGTGACTCTCTTGAAATTCAGGGCCTTGCATTCATTTAATACTAGTAGTCTCCCAAACACAGCACTTACCTACAAAATATAGAACTGTGTCTGTGTAAATCAATTTTCTATCTATTCTTGGCAACTGTACCATACGCATGCATAGTAGTACATATATAGGTGTTACTTGTGGCAATGGCTACATATTTGTTCCTATTTGAGGCCTGTAATATTAGTCCTTCCCTTAAGTAGAGAAGTCTAAAGCTAGTATAAGACATCACTGAGTTGAACAAAAGCAACAGATGTTTTAGCACTATTGATAAGGTTGGGCTAATTGTCTCTTAAACTGGCAGTTTAGTTTAGTTTTTTGGTTATTTCAAATTCCATACAGCTCTGAAAAATGTTCTACAAATTAGCATAGTTATATAGTTTTACACATTTGGAGTTCTAGCGAAACAAAAATGATGTTAAACCTTGCTTCAGACACCTTTGATAAGCCCTTCCCTAAAAGCATGTATGTGTGTAACTTTGATATGGTGCTAGTTTTTAAGGGCAATTAAATTGTTTAATTTTTTTGTAGGGGGAGAGGGTGACTTGAAATTGCTATACCTGGTGCATCATTTTTACGGATAGAAAAGTGTCTTTATAGTAACAGTAAAGCACACAATTTTCCCTTGTCCCTTCAAACTTCATATACTTTATCTGAGAGGCTAAAGCTAAACAAAATATTTTGTGTTTGATGTCTTTAAATCACCCACACTAACAAATATTGAAGTATGTACCTCTAAAGACGGTTTCTAAGAACAATGGGTGATGTCACAAAACATGTACTTCAATACATAAGCATAACTGGATTAAGCTAAACAGTTTGACACAGCCTAAAAGAGATGCTGTCAATTGACAGGCTCAAAATATGATGGGGTATTCATCTGTTTCAGCATCCGTTGGCTCACAAGAATGAAGCTGGCAGGGAGAGAGGAGAGATGTCGCACCATGCGCACATTCTCATCACTTAATGTATGCAAGTGCAAATCCAACAAATCTAGCATCATGCTTGATATTTGGTGGGGTTGCCTAGCCTAGGATCTTAGATTTTGATATGATTGTAAATCTAGACTTGGTTTATTTAGAATATGTTCTGTAGTTGTCGTGGCAATTTGTAATTTGATACTTTTAACTGCTGCTAATATGACTGGGGTAGGGTGACCAGATATCCCGATTTTATAGGGACAGTCCTGATATTCGGGCTTTTACTTATATAGGCGCCTATTACGCCCCACCCCCATCCTGATTTTTCACACTTTCTATCTGGTCACCCTAAACCTGGGTCTGTTAGTTAGTCCCTGAAATGGGGGCGAAGGGGGAGGGGCGGGGGAGAGAAGGTATATCAACAGGCTTTTAGCTAAAGCAGCTCTCTTTCTTGGGTGGCCGTTGAGGTATTTGCACCAACAGCCTGTAGTCTTAAACTGGAGGGCAATGATAGCAGGGCATGTTTGGGAGGATTTGAGGTTTTTTGGATGGCTTAATTCCTTTGTTGGCATTGAGTCAACTAGTGACCTGTGAATTAATGAATTTTGTGTTTTACCCTTGTCTACAGGAGTATGTAGTTCGCATGAAGCTGAGGTGTAAATCTGCCCCATGCTAGCCTGCCACACACTAACAGTTTCTTAGTGCACTTTGACCTACCCTGCTTTGAAACAGGAGTAGATCAGAGTGCACTGAGGAACTGTTAGTGCATGTCAGCAGTGTGCAGCAGGCTAGTAGATTCACACTCCAGGTTGATGCTAACTAAATTTATGTTGGCAAGCCCTGAGCAAGGTATTTGAACCACACACTCTTACAAACTGGTATGTTCAATGTTGTAATATTTGAAGCTGGCAGTTCTTCCATAACCTCATTTGAATTGTTGTGGTGAATAGTTCTGCTTTTTTGCTTTCTGATACAAGCTTTTTATCTTTCAGATTTCTTTTGATGGCATCTATGCAAACATGAGAATGGTTCACATACTTACATCAGTTGTTGTAAGTCGTCATATGACGGGAGAGTAAACATCTCTAGAGATGTTGATACAGAATTAATTATAAAATATTAAACTAACCACAGCGTAATAGAGAGCCTTTAAATTAGAACAAGGGATATCTTGTACCAAGATTTAACCATGAGGAACCACAGTGGTGACTGTTCTGTTTTTCTTAGTTTAGAAAGTTGCAAGTTGCTTGTGATGGGTATGGTATGTTTCTTCCCACAACCCTACTTCTTTTGACATTGCCATCTTAGGATAGATTTTGAATGAGTGAAACAAATGGAAGTTTAAAAATCATTAAGTCTGAATACAGCACACCAAAAAAGTTATGTTTTAAGGAAAATGCTGACATGGTGAAAGTAAGAAGTGAATCACCCAGGCAATCCCACATTCTTGCTGCTAGATACTTTGGGTAAGCTTTTAGCCTCCACCCTCCCCTTGCATGCACGTATATGTGCGCACACTTTGCTCTTGCAAAAACTTGCATGTGCACTTGAACAACTGTAACACTTGTGTGCCATAAATGTTTGAATTGACAACTTCAAACCCCATTAAGACAAACTCTTGAGTGCACACAGGTGTTTGCATCTGCAAAGCATAGGCACATGTTTGTGAACGTATGGAAATGGTGATTGGGTAGAGGCCTGGCTAAAAATTGAGCCCTTCACATTAAATACATAAAGACACAAGTGTAGAAGAAAGCATTCAAATGTAACTTGACAGTCTTTATGCCAGAGTGAGAGAGTGTCTTTGATTATTTTTTGTCTTACATTTTAGGGATCCAAATGTGAAGTACAAGTGAAAAACGGAGGTGTATATGAAGGAGTTTTTAAAACCTACAGTCCTAAGGTAACTTTTTTGCTTGTTTTTTCTTTCTGATCAGTTTTCTACAAAGCTCCACTGATTTTACTACTCAGTAGTAGAGTAAAGCAAATAATTCTTAATAAGTTTATTCGGATCTAGCCTCTTTCTGTTTGGGAATTGCCCACAAGCAGCTTCATTTTCATGAAGTTATTCACTATTTGAAATATACCTAATACTTGTTGCAAATCTTGTTGTGTAGGTTAACAAGTAGTTGTTCAATAGTCAGAATATTTATTATTAAATTAAATATTTAGAATCAAACTCACTTGTATTTTTAATGTTAGTGTGATTTAGTGCTTGATGCTGCTCATCGAAAACCTGCAGAATCCAGTGTGGGGCCAAAACGGGAAGACATATTAGAGAGTATCTTGTTCAAGTCTTCAGATTTTGTTATGGTGCAGTTTAAAGATATGGACACCAATTATGCAAGGAGAGGTATGTTTCTGTATTTTAAATGGCTTTTTAAAATTGGGTATAGCTTTACATCATAAAGGTAAACATTTTAAATCTTGATGCTTTGGGTTAGGCTCTGAAAACCAAATGTAAGCACCTAAATAAGACTCTTCAGAAATGCTGAGTACCTGAAGATCTCATTGAAGTCAATAGGAGGTGCAGATGCTCTGCCCCGTTTTGAAATCAGTCTACTTTTATTTAGGTGCTTAAATATATGTATGTTGAAGCCTAACTTTAGGCACTCAGATTTAAAAATTTGGCTAAACATTGCCTGTAATTTTATGTTGTCTGAAAAGTTAACTTCCGGAAGTATTAACAAATGTGATGTTACTGGTTCTCTAGAAAATGAGGTAATTTATTCACAGAAATTGCTAAATTTTCTTACAAATGTGGATGGTTTGTTTGCATTTGTTTTAGGCACTTTAATGTTAGATGAGAATCCATGAATTCATAAATACTTTTAAATGTATTGCATTCTTCCAGAAGTAATGTGGTATGTGAAGTCCCCTTAGTCAAAAATTAGGATTTGTCTCTGAACATGCTTGCTTAGAAAGAAGTCTCTTTTCAAAATCCTAAAAACTATTGCAAAAAAGGTGGAGAGTAAAAAGCTCAAATTATGAGTTTTTCTTAGGAAGGGCCCACCTCTGTATATAAATAACTCACTTTTATTTCTTATCAACTGCATACAGCTTTATAGTTCAGACTTTAAAAAATATAAAAGAATCCAGTGGGACCTGAGACAAAAATGACCTTAATATTTCAAGCCATGGCTTGGTCTGTAACTGCCAGAAAGGGTTAATAACTTTATAGCATATCAGGCATCTGACAGCCAGTCACATAGACTTTTTGTGTCTTTTTCTTTCTTCTCTTTCTACTGTGCAGCCTCCAAGACTCTAGTTATTTTTTGGTGTCTAAGATGTTCACAGGTCAGGCAGCTCTGCTTCTTTTGAAGGGTTTTTCTCTGTTTATGGCAAATCTCTAAGGTCTCCTTTGTTTGCTTAACAAGTCCCCACTTTGCTGGACCACGAAAGAAGAAAGGCAATCTATTCCTTTTTGTGCAGTGAAACAAAACCAAAAGTGCACCACCTGCGGAGCTTGTACATTGGCAGGCCTCAACAAGTACCACTGGTAGTTTAGATGTGTGTGCCACAACAGCCTGGCATTTATTGCTGAAGAGACCATCCAGACATGGGATTTCTACACATCTGTGATGTAGAAGAGACATAACAGGAGGATCTGCTTTAATGCCCTCTGACCTGCCATGGGGGGACGGATAGCTCAGTGGTTTGAGCATTGGCCTGCTAAACCCAGGGTTGTGAGTTCAGTCCTTGAGGGGGCCATTTAGGGATTTGGGGCAAAAATCTGTCAGGGATGGTACTTGGTCCTGCTGTGAAGGCAGGGGACTGGACTCGATGACCTTTCAAGGTCCCTTCCAGTTCTATGAGATAGGTATATCTCCATATTAATGTTAATCCTAAGAATAGAGCCTTGCTGATTCCAGGCTTTCGAAAGACCCTACCTTTTTAGGGGAAGGTACACAGTCCAAGCACAAGGGGCAGTGAAGTACAGAACTTAAGTGCAAGTTCTTCCAGATCAGTTTAAAATGGCCTTAGCATAAATGAGAGTTGGGCTAATAATCCAGACCCTTGCAGCAAGCAGAGAGGTGTAGATTCTGTTACTTCTCTCCCACCTGATCTCCTTCCAGGTATCTTTCATTGATGGGAAGTATTCTAGGAGGAGCAGCTGCCTCAGACTAAAAGGTCACCTGCTACATGTGGTTATTGGATAGAATCTCTTTGAGAATAAAGAAACTTAGGAAATACTAGATTCAGCTACTTTGAGATCAAAGTTTACCTCTGAGAACTTGGATGAACCTATAGAGATTTGGAGCAGGGTAGATCAGAGATGGCTGCAATGCATGATGATCTGTAGTGGAATATTCATATCCTCTCCATGGTGTCTCAGAAGGAATAGTACCAGGATGGTATTTGTAGGAGTAAGTGAACCTTCTGATCACACTTGAAAATTTAAAAGAAATAGGAGACTCCTTTGAGAAATAAGTAGATGAATAATAAATATAGACTCCCAGAGAGTAATGCATGCTTATGAACATACAGGAATTATGGGCCATCTGTTTTTTAAAAATAACTTCAGGTTTTCTTGGTTTGTAGTGTCAGACAGGCACTTGCCGTTCATAGTGAAAGCTAACGGTTCGTGTTATAAGAGTTTCTTGGTGGAGCTATGTTCTCCCTTAGTATTTGTACTGGAAATTGATACATTGTAGTGCCTAGTTAATTTTGACAACACTATGTGTGATGTAAAACACAGCCAACTAAATTCTGTAGATTTCAAAAGAACATGTCCAGAAGCCAACAAAGTTTGTAAAGCCCTGCCTGGCTCTTGAGCTCTCTGCTGTGAAGTAATTAGTCAGTGGACAGTCCGGCCAGAGTAGCATGTGAAAGGCAGCTCGGTTTTTAAAGAAATGGCCCTTTCATTCAGGTGACATCTCTGCTATGTTGCAGGACAGGCTCAGCTGGAAGCCTTTGCATGTAGCAGAGTAGTGTCTAAAAAAATGTTCAGGGTCTAATAGCTTTCTGGGGAGTGCTTCAGACAAATATTCCCTTCATGGGCTATTAGTTCTAAAATTCTGTAGCCGTATCCTGATTCAGTAAAAGCCAGTCTCCTCTTCAATCCTGTGGATTTTTATCTCTGTGCATGCATATTCTGTTCTGCTGCTGTGGAGTTTTGTGATCTGGAAGTGCAGTTAAACAATGGTTTTGAGCCTTGGAGTAGCCTGGAAGACCATGGTCCACAGATCTGAGAATGGTGAAGAGACTTTTGCTATTATCCCTAAAGCTGCTATGTCATAAACCAGTCATCCAACAGAAGATTCTTCCTGTCAAAGTGGATAGGACAGAAACTAACTCAACTCCAAGCTGATATTGGAGGTGGAAGAATGGGACAGCTCAGTTCATTTCCGGTCCTGTTCAAGGCTTTCTGCAGGAGCCATGCAGGTTTCTTGCCTGGAAATGGGGAATCCTTAGTGAAAGAGCCACCTGAAATTGTCACTTTGGCTGAATGCTTTGCCATTGGCAGATGTGGTGTTTGATAAGTGGAGTCTTTAGGGCCTAGACAAGTAGCAAAAGCTAGAGTCCGAGTAGGCTTACCATATTCTCTTTTTCCATCTACAGGGTTCTCTCCAATTTATTTGGTAAAAGCCCATCTGCTCCACTGGCAAATAACAATTTCCTTTCCCTACTGACTTTTCCCTGTGATGCCAATAGATCACTTGTTAAAATAACTCTTTTCTAGTACACTACTAGTGCACAATAATTCTAGTATCTGGCATCTTCTAATATACCATGGCAGCTAGGGGAAATGATTGAGTCTTAGACTGTGTAGTGGAGAGGAATGCCTGCAGGTTACAGAAATTTGAAGTGGGGAAGAAAGGCAAGAGGTTGGTTGCAGTGGGCTCATTACCAGTTTATTTTTAAAAAGGCTGTATGGGCCTTAACCTGTGTCTGTATGAGCTTGTGTGGACTTCTGTGTCCATGCGGACTCCTGTTGGCTACAGTAGAACTCCATAGGTGAAAGGGCTGGTGCTAGGGCATCCCATTGCAGGATTAGGGCCTTACTCTGTGTGGGTAGCTTGATGAATAAAGCTAAATGGGCAGCTCAAGACAATGAGGCTGCTTCCCTTTTTAGCTTCTGTAAATGAATATGCACTAGGGAATAAATATGAAGCTATTTGTACTTATTCATAGCCTTTGTCACAAGTACACCTCTACCTCGATATAACGCCTCGGCAGCCAAAAAATCTTACCGCATTATAGGTGAAACCGCGTTATATTGAACTTGCTTTGCTCCACCGGAGTGCGCAGCCCTGCCCCCCCCCCGGAGCACTGCTTTACCGCGTTATATCCGAATTTGTGTTATATAGGGTCGCATTATATCGAGGTAGCGGTGTATCTGCCAAGTATGGGTACAAATTGTGCTTGTAGAATCAAAAGGCTGCAAATCCAGCCCTTAATATGCGAAACAGAACTTCAGTAATAGGTTACCATTAAGCAGCTTTCTATTCCTAAATGCTTAAAGATAGATGACTTCAGAGTACTTAGATTCAGACCAGGCTCATGTACACTTTTCAGCAGCTGCCCACTACCTTGCATTTATGGCTCAGCAGAGTGAGTCTCTTCCAGCATTTCTTGTAATCCTAAAAGCTGTCTTGATTTTAAAATGCCAGCAATGCCAGCTCTCATGTGGTTTAAATTGGCTCAGATGTGGCTGATTGGCTTCCCTCTTAAGAGAAGGTAATTCAAGAGGGTGGGTTCTGCTAGTCCAACTGCAGTATTCTGCAGTGTTTTGTTCACAGTACTTTGACAGTGCTGTAAATCCGAGCTAGTACCACCAGTCTAAAATATAAAAAAGCAAAGGGAAATAGCTATCAAGTTCTTTTGGGGGGTTGTAATGGTGGAGGTGGCATCCTTCCAGACCAACTGTGTCAGCAGGGGAATGGCAGTAGGCATAATGTGAACAAAGGAAAGAAATGTAACTGTGCAGTGGTGGTAGCTTGTTTTAATGCTTTCAAGTCAGTAGTAGGCAGGGACAATACACATCAGAGTTGTTACTCTTAAAACATTTAAGCTAAAACCACAATTTACTTCAAGCAAAAGTAAACTTGGTTTCAGTTTGACAAGTAATTTGAACATCATTGGACTATAAAGCACACTGGCTTAGTAAAATCTGAACCTCCCAGTCATGCTTATGGGGCAATAATTAGAATATGCATCTAACAACTTAGAACCTACTTACTCATGAAAACAAGAGCAAATGAAACATTTCGTGCTAATCTCCCTAGTCACTCTAGCTCTGACAAGCTTGTCTCTAACTTGTTCAAGAACATATTAATCTGAAGCTTCTCAGAACATGTGTATCTATATCTCTCATCTTTGCATACCATGCAGTTTTGCCATGTAGAGAAAGAAATGCCATTGAGATTCTTCGCTGCTCAATTACAGGATTCAAAACAGGAAAGAGAAGGATTTGAATGCTAAAACTTTAGCCTCCTGGTGAGGATTCTGTGTCCTCATCAGGTTAGAGAGGCAGCATGAGACTAGCCAGGAACTGTTAAATCTCCAGCTGTTACTGGCTTCACTTGCCTAAGTCCACTCATTACTTAATCTCTTTGCCTCGGTTTTACCAGGTATAAAATGGGACTGATTGTGGACTTGACTATCTCTCAAAGTGTCATGGGAATAGTTCATGAGGTGCTTTGGTGATATGAAGTGCCATATACAATAGATGCTAAGCATGTTTCACAGTCCTGTCTGTTACCATGCTGCAGATTAACATTTGTAGCCGTACTCCATGTATTCGACTGTCTTCCATGTTAACACTCATCAAAAATAAGAGCACTTTTTTATTTTAGGAACTCTTGCAGAATTCTTTGCTTTTCTCTGGTTTTCCAGAATGTTCAGTTGCTCATTAACTTTGCTAACTCACTTCTTGTTTGTTTTGCCTCTTATTTTTTTTTATTTATCTCAATGCCCTGTGTATACTTATTTAGCTTTTAGATTACTGCTTCATGTTCTCCATGTGGCTTTCTGAATTAACCTAGGCTATCAAAGATCTCAGATCGCCTTCAGTGAAGTAAGTTAACATGGCATATTATTGGGATTCTTCTGCAAGGAGTCACATGAGCATCAATTGATCTCTGTCGGTCTGTCTCAAAACATAACATAAGGGAATATGCTCCTGATACATTTAAAGTTTGTTCGGAGGCTGCACATGAGATTGGAGTCATGTGACTAGAAGTCAATTTTTTTTCCAGTATATATTTGCCTTAAGGGTAACTGTATTTTTCACATTTGAGATCCGTCCTGATGGTTAAGCTTGTGGAGCTATGCTCTATAACTTGATGAAAATGTGTCCAACGTGAGGCATAGGTGAAAACAACAGTGCCTCTGCATTGCTTCATAATAGTACTGGATTCTGATATTAATCATCTTGATAAGGATGACTGTACACCACTATATGTTACTTCAGGGGTCGGCAACCTTTCAGAAGTGGTGTGCCGAGTCTTCATTTATTCACTCTAATTTAAGGTTTTGCATGCCAGTAATACGTTTTAACATTTTTAGAAGGTCTCTTTTTGTAAGTCTCTATAATATATAACTAAACTATTGTTGTATGTAAAGTAAATAAGGTTTTAAAAATGTTTAAGAAGCTTCATTTAAAATGTAGAGCCCCCTGGACCAGTGGCCAGGACCTGGGCAGTGTGAGTGCCACTGAAAATAAGCTCGCGTGCTGCCTTTGGCACGCGTGCTATAGGTTGCCTATCCCTGTGTTACTGTTCTTAAACACTTACAAATTATGTGCTTTGTAGATTATAGACGCTGCTGTTAGTTCTGTAAACTTCATAAAGCAGCATATTTTTTCCCTTTAACCTTTGTGGCTTTTTATAGAGCTCCATTGAATGTTTTTTGTCTCCCTCCACCCCCAATATGTAAGACAAGGCGTGGGTGGACAAGATAGATAAAATACCATTCAGGTAGTATTTATTCATGCTCCATCTAAGTGGCATACTTCAGCATTGTGTTGTGACGCCACTTCATGGAAACTAGAAGTCTCAATAACATGCAAAAAGTTGTAAATCCCTCTCTACCTGGATACTGTATTACCTGATACTTGCTGTATTCTGTTGGGAATGACTTTTCCAGTTGCTGCTATGGTGCAGTTTGAAATTGGGTTTCCCTCTTGGATAAACAATGACTCCAAGAGTGAGTTTGGAGACCACTCAATATCTTGATCTGAGAGGATACATTTTGTACTTCATACAAATGTAGGAGTAGGCCATCGAGTTCATTAGGTTGCTGCTTTGTTCCTGTGCCTATAAAAATGCCATATAGGTAAATATAGACATTCCAAGAGAATATCGTGCCTTTTTAAAAACAGACATGTTCTCTTGTTACTATTTAACTTTGGCTTGATGCAACACTTACATTTTGTTTTGTATTTAACTAATAGCGATAAACATTGAAAGTTATTTTTTTACATATTCTACAAGTAGGAAGTAATGGAGACATCTTTTTTTCTTGGTGCTGTTTAGATGCTTTTTAAGAATTCCTCACCCTGAAGATTTGTAGAATAGATTGAGGTGCTTTTAGAAGGCAGAATGGGGGGGGGGGGATAGAGGGAGCTGTGAATGGAGGGACATATTTATTAAAATTTGAATGAGACGTATGGCTGTCATATTTTTCAAAGATGAAGGATTCATAAAGATTTGTGATCATGACTTCAAAATAAATGAAGTTTAACCATGTCTGAATTTAACTATGTAATGTGAAACACCTGAAAAATTGAATGTGTATTTTTATCTGATTTTCAATTTTTTTTTTTTCTCTTTCCATATCTGTTGTAGTTCCTTCAGAAACAGGTAACTTTTTTTGGCAGTCACTCTGTGTTTCTGCATCTTGCCTTTTCATAATGCTCTTGTTTCCATAATATGTAATGGAAATTTAATACCTCTGCTCGCACATTTATGGCACTATAAAACATGCATGCATAATTTCACAGAATCAGTTTTAGAAAATTGTACTATTTTTTGTTCTGAGCCTTGTAGAAAATTGACTTTTAGCTATTGCATTTTAATTGCTTGCAGTATGCGAAATATTATATCAAAACTACAAAGTGGTATGGTACTAAATAAATTACTCTTGCTTCAGAACAGCTTACAAGTAGCCCAAGTGCCTTTACAGCACAACCTATGTGGCAGTAACAGGTTAAAGTATAACCTCACTAAAAAGTGCCAACCTTCAAGGAGGAAGGTGCTATCACTGCTTTCATTGGCAGACTCTGCAATAACATTTTACAAGCTGACTTGATATTAATTTTTCACACAACAAGCCCTAAAAGTGACGTGGCCCCATCAGGGTATCTTCCTCTCATGTGGTTTCTTTTCTTTAATGGGTCTTTCATGTTCGGGGAAACTTTCATATTAAGCTAATATAATTCAGTTGTCTTATCTTTATACACATTCCTTAATTTTTATACTGTATTTGCTAATTAATGAAGCTGTTTATGCTTAAATGCTTAATCCTTCACAAGTATCTTATTTGGTCTTGCTATGCCATATATGAGCTGAGTATGTATTTTATAAGACATAATGCTGAATGTTGTTACAGAATAATTGCTGCAACAAACTGTGGCGATATAAGCGCAGAATTTGACTGTGAAACTGGATAAAGCAGGAATAATAGTTAGGCTGTGTTGACAGCCTTAATTAAAACACGTCTTCAGTGATTGCAGATGAAATGTAACAGATTAGTGGCCAAGTAAATCTCTTATATAAATGTAAACTCTTCTCACAATGGCTTCAGTGTGCGTTCCTCTTCAATACAATTTCAGACACTGCCAAAATAAATTAAAGCTGCATTCTTCCACTTCTGGCACAGTCTGTTGGCTTGGTCCCTACCTTTTCCTAAAATCTTAGGAGAAACCCTGATTTTTCTGTCAAAATGACTGCTTATTTCCATCTGTATGTTTGTAATGAAAAGTGTATAGTTCTGATTCAAAACTAGACTGAAAGCCACTTACAAAATGAAAAAATGGGTTTATAAAGTAATTCCCTTTTTAAAAAAGCATTTAAGAATCTGCAGGCAGCTTTGAGCTTGTTTAGTTGATAAATATTTAAGCTTGACTTCCTTAATTCTGAATGGCATCGTTATTTTTAATAAAGTATTTAAATAGTCTAGTATGCCTTCAGTTGTACTCTTACAGTCTGGTTTGAATAGAACATAAATGAGCTGCAAATAAAAGTTCATGATCCAGTAACTGATTGGAGTAGCTTAGTACACCTGCCTATTGGTATGTTCATAATACCGTTTCATCTGTTTCTAGTTCTCTAGTTTTATAGTTGTGTTGAATGTGAGTAGAGAGTTTTTTGAATTTAATGTAATTTGGATAAGTTGCCACTTAAAGAAGCTTCTTCTAGAAAAATGTGTTTTCAGCAACTTCACACTGTAAAACTGGTATATTAAGCTAATGGATAATTCCAAGCATTGCAGGGCTCTTTTATGGAGAGACTGTAAAGGTGTGAACGCGGGTGTCAAGGAATCATTGAAATGGAAGAAACTGGGATTGAGTCAAAGAGGGGAGGTATAATTTAAGACACAGCTTAGACATTCTGGGCATAGGGGTGAGTAAATCTGCATAATGTTTTTTGGTGTCTGTAATATGTTAGAGTGTAGTTGTATTCAACAGCATTTTTGTTTCAAATGTTTTGTTAAAAACATCAGTGAATATTTTGTCTCTTAGAACAATGATGTTACTCTCTTGAAGCAATACTGCATGTGATTAAAGGCATAGTCCTAGTTAATGTTAATGCTCTTTGATTTTTCTTAAATCAAAGGCAACGACAACTATTTCCTGATGCCTATCTTTCAGTTTTCAGTGTTAGCTGGCACTTAGCTGAAACTAAGTAATTGCATCATAACTAAAACATATTTTGTATACACTTTGTACACTATTCAAAAACAGAAGTATTAACACAGCCTAGTTTTGAATTTATTCTCAATTAATGTATTAACTCTGACGGTTTTGGATCATGCTAGTGTTCTTTACTTATAATGCATTTACATTTGGTTATTCCTCAAACACCTGTGTGTATTGTGTTTTTCTTTGTTTAACCAAACGTGAATCTCCATTGTAGATGCTTTTACTGATTCAGCCATTGGTGTTAAAGTAAATGGTGAACACAAAGAGAAGGACCTTGAACCATGGGATGGAGGCGAGACCACTACCACTGAGGAGCTTGAGGCTTTAGAGACAGATGTTGTAAGTAAACTTATTTATCATACATTGAAAACTTTCTAGAAAACAAGTTGTTTTGCCCCATGGTGTCCCTTAATTTCAATCTAAAATGGAATTTTAGTTGAAACTAAACTGTTTAAATAACGTGGCTGTGTAGTGTAAACGCGTATTGGCAAATTGTGATATCCATGGTCATGAAAATTCATCGTTTCCCCTACAATTTTAAAAGGAATAACTGAATCTCGGACACCACTGTGATGGTGTTTAGTTGAAGTGCCGAAACGCCCTCTCTGAGGGTCCTGAATTACTTGATGGAGACTGGTCTTGAATGAGTTTCTACCTCTATTACATTGTCTTGATTTGCTGTGTATGGTATAGCAACTAGTTTTATGCTACAATGCAGCCTTTTTACTAAAGGACACAAAGTTTGTAATATGTAAGAATAAGAAGAAATTAGTATTGTAGATTAGAGGAGACTAACAACATGGTTCAAGAAATCTTTGTTCTGTAATGTTGCGGAGATCACTTACCTTATGAATACTAATATTTAAATAGGTCATGTTCTTTCTATATATCCACCTTATTGGGTCATCAACTATTAAATATTTATAAAAGTATTGTAGTAAACATTCTGTATGTTTTGTAAAAGTAACAAAATCTTAGTAATGCTGTTACTGTGGCACACAACACTTCACTAAGAAGTGGGGAGATAAAGTTGCTTTTGTGTGAGATCAAGGAGGGTCTCCCGTTAGATACTTGTGTTGGTAGTGCATTTGAAAAGTTCTGGTACTTGCCACAGGGAGGAACACTACATCCATTTCTGAAATATGGACTATCTGATTGCCATATTCTGCAAAGGAATCAAAGCTTTTGGCTAATGTAAGCCAGTTCATCATATAGTGCCAAATGGGAATGAGAAGACACTAGCAGCAATACTGGATTTTGAGGGTAAAATATATGTTAGATACTGTTTTGGGTTTGTAATTTCACTATCTGATTGGTAAATCCAGGAGTAAGGGCAAAAGTTTAAACTTTCTGGCAACAGCCATAAATTTTAGGGAAATGTTTCCAGTGTCACTTTGAAAAATAAACCTCATTTTCTTCTAGTCTAATGGATGGGATCCTAATGACATGTTTCGTTACAATGAAGAAAATTATGGCATAGTATCAACTTATGACAGCAGTTTATCTTCATATACGTAAGTTCCAAAATATTTTGTTCTTAGATTTGTATTAATATTCTCCATAGCTCATCTTCAGGTTATAAATTTAGATGCAGAATTTTTACCTACTTTCTGGAGTGATAAATGCAAATGATACACACTGCAATTTTGTACTATTGTGACTAATTTCAGTGGCCTTGTGATCCCCACTTGCCAGGTCGCAATGTCGCTCACTCAAATTTGGCCTGAGTGCCCCTCTGTCATGGCGGAGGGCTAGGTGGGCCAAATTTTAATGAGTGGTGTTGCGATGTGGCACCCAGGGTTGCAGTGCTACTCAAATTTGGTTTTTGGCGTGCGTGTGTGTGGTGTTTGGTTTTTTTTTTTTTTTTTTTTTTTTTAATGGTACTTCAACTGACCACAACTTCTAAGAAACTGTCCTCTCAATCTTTGAACCAAAAAACTCATAACTTTCTTAGCCTTACTTAACAAAACTTTGACCCTGCTGCTGTAACCCCTCTGTACTTTTTTGAACTGTAAATATCTCTCTTGTGTCTGTGTCCTCTGATAGCTATGGGAGCAGACTAAAAATGTAAAGATGACTTTAAATCTCAAGGGAAAAATTCACTGTTTTCCAATCATTGCAAGAGCAACACAAGCAAAATTGGCTCTGTATTTCTCCCACTAAATTGTAGGAGATTGTAGTTGGAGGAGGGGGAAGAAGGCTGGCTTTCTTTGAACATGCTAAATTCCTGTTGTTTGAATGTGTTTTAAAAAAAAAAAGTCTCTGGCAAAGGATTCATTGTCCGATTCTGTTGTTCCTGAGTTTGAATACTTATTTTACATTTGCAGCTGTGCTTCAACAACTTCATAAACTAGATACTTACACGCCAACAAGCATATTTGATTAATTCTTGTGCTGATAAACTGTCGTATATCAAGGTGGTAGGCACCTTAGTAATGCCTAACATAGGTAGACAATCGTGTGTTGGCTCTCACCTTCATTTCTCTTTTACTTGTCCTCTCCTTGATACAGACTGTGAAAACGCACTTTCTCTACCACTTTTCAGGTTGCCATCAATACTGCTGCATGGATAGGCATTTTTTCCTATAAAAGTTATGTTCATATTTTTAAAATGTATTCTGGACTTCCACATCCATTTGACAAGCTTCTTTTGTCTAGAGCAGAGGTTCCCAAACTTTTTTTATTGCGTACCCACTTCCAGACCTACCAGCTGACCACATACCCCATCCCTTCTCATCACTGATACATTGTGTATTCTTCTTAATACTACCTGTCTTTAGCCATCTGTCCATATTTCACTGTTACGAACAGATATAGTTATAGTGTGACATATACAACTGACAAAGTTCTGAGCTCAGTTAGAATGGACAGTTGCTGGGCAACTGAACCCGTCCTGTACGGTGATTGGAAGTGAGGGCTCTGTACATCAGTGTATCTGTGTTCTCATTGGTACATCTTGATGTAAATTAACTACCGTATTTTATATAATAAATTCCCATAGTTTTAAAGCTCTGACTGAGTAGCCTATTATGAAAATGCAATAAATAAAATAATTAATAGATAAAATCCAGCATTACACAAGATCTCCCATGTACTCCCAAAGATGTCTGGTGTACCCCCATGGGTACGCGTACCATAGTTTGGGAACCCCTGCTCTAGAGAGAGTGCCAAGATATTTGAAAGCTGAAATTATCTGATGGGAGGACCAATCCCTTGTGCTCTAGGTGTTTAAATTCTTGACAATGGAGTAAGACTTACAAAAAGTTGTTGTGGCCTAAAGGTAGTATTTTGTGTTCTGTTTGTAGCAACAGCTCCATTTGAGCTCTGTCATTGATAGTCTTTGGATTAAGTGCTGTGTGAGCAGTCATGTTAATCTTATCCCTGCGTGAAATTGGAAAGCAGGATTTCACTCAGCATTTTAGTGACTGGAAGGAGAAAGATGTTAAATGATTTAGTGTCTGCTGCAGAAGTGTCAAGTTCTTCTTAGAGCAGTGTCCCTGTGTGTGCTCCACTTCAGGGGCACCTGCACCTTTGATGGAAATTTTTGGTAGCTGTGCCTGTCTGGCCTGTGAATGCGCAAAGGCTATATGGGGCTGTGCGGGCAAACCACCCTCAGTTCCTTCTCCACCACCGTTGGCCTGAGATGGAGTCAAGTGTGTGCCTGTTCTGTAATATTTAGCTTTTTCTCAGATAGTTACTTACCTTATAGTGTTACGGTTAGTGGAACAATTGTTCATTTTGTTTTATCTTTTCTTAAAAAAACAAACAACCCCAACCCCTTTTTATTCATAGAGGTAGTTGTATAGTTAAGAGATTCCACCTTTTAGGGGTTAAATTTTTGCCAGTTTTGCTCAGGAATGCTGGGCTTCCTGTGATTTAAAAGGTGCCTCTCCTGTCCTGAGGCTATTCTGATGAAGCTGCCATGCCTTCCCCATCTCCTATGGCAGATGACTTCAGTCAGTTTCAGAACCTGATGTGGATTGCTGACATGCAGACTCTCTTGGAGGAGGTTCAGGAGTCCCACCATAAACTCCTAGATATTTTACACACTTCCACATCTATGAAGATTGCCATTCCAGTCAATGACGTTCTTGTGGAGCCCGCTCACATGGTTTGGCAAAACCCTGCTACCACACTGCATATCTTCAAGAGGGAGGATAAAAATATGTTCCAGTTAAAGAATCGGACTTTCTGTTTTTTCACCCAGCTCTGAATTCTCTAGTAGTGGAGGCTGTTAATGAACAAGGCAGACAGCATAACTTGAAGTCCACCCTGTACAGTAGGGACCCACCACAGGCTTGAGCTTTCTGGTTGTAAATCTTATGCTTCAGCCACACTTCAGGATAGCAAACCGTCAGGCACTCATGGGAAAATACAACTGTTTCACTAATATAATTAAATGTGTTATGAGTTAGCATCTACCAGAAGAATTGGGACCAGTTTAAATCCATTATACAAGGTCAGTTCCTGGCAAAGATATCACTCCAGGCCTCCTTGGATGCGGCAGATACTGCAGCATGGTCCCTCTCCACTGCAGGGGTCATGAGAAGAGTGTCTTGGGTACAGCTGCCGGGCTTTACAAGAGAGGTTGAGTATTCTCGAAGGCTTACCCTTTGATGCTTGCAAGCTCTTTGTGGACTTGACGAATACATCTCTTCACACTTTAAAGGACTCAAGAGCTATGCTGCGATCCCTAGGGATTTACATTCTTGTAAAGAAAAAGAGATTTAGTAGGTCTCAGGCAGCCCAAAGAACACGCCCAGACCCATATTCAAAGTATTGTAGACCCTCTGAACCCCCAGCAAAGAAACTAAGATACTCAAGAAACCTCCTTCAGCTACATCTTCTCAGCCTTCTGTGTCCTCCAAGCGACAGTTTTGGTGGGGTGGTAGAAAGTCTCAACCATTCAACTGACAAGTTCTTATAGCTGCAGCATCTTGCCTCCCTCCCTCCTTTCAGATGCCTCCTTTTTTCATTTTCAGGGTGCATGGGAGCATATAATGTTGGACAAATGGGCCCTGGAAGTTTATAACATATGGTTACACGGTTTCAAATCTCTCTCTCCCCTCTTCAGGGACTTCTCTCATGATCAGTTGCTAGAGCCGCAGGTGACCTCTCTTCTACATTTAGGAGCACATAGAACCAGTTCCTGTGCAACACAGGGGAAGAGTATTCAATTCAGAGTACTTCCTGATTCCAAAAAAGAATGGAGGGTAGAGGCAAATTTTAGACCTCCGGTCTCTAAACAAATATGTAAAGCAACAGAAATTGCAACAATAATTCCTTCATTAGAAGTAGGAGATTGGTTTGCAACTCTAGACCTACAAGATGCATATTTCATGTCACTAATTACCCTTCACACAAGTGGTTTGTTTTCTAAAAAACAAGAGCTATGAATACACGACGCACCCTTTTGGCCTATCGTCAGCACTGAGGGTATTTTCAAGGATTCTGGCAGTGATTGCCAGTCACCTACGTTGTTTGGGTATAATCGTTTTCCCATACATGGGTGATTGGTTGATCTGGGCAGATTGTGTTGGGAAGTGTTGACATCAGTAAAGATCATGTGTTCCCGGTTTCCCAGCCTGTGCCTTCAAATCAACCTAGAAAAGTCAGTTTTGACTCTACTACAGAGTATAGATTTCGTAGGAGCTTCCCTGGATGCAGTGAGAAGCAGTGCTTACCCACTGCCAGTACTAGCCCATTGGGGGCCCTAAACAGGAATATTTTTGGGCCCTCCCAAACACGTATTAATAATTAATAGGGGCTCCCTTGAGCGGCTTGGGGCTCTCAGCAATTGCTTAGTCTGCTTATGCCTAGTGCCGGCTCTCAGCTTACCTACTATCCAGCAGATTTCTCTCCCTGTCCATCTCATCTCAAAGATTCAGGGCAGTGCTAGGTAGCAGTAAGAGATTGTATTCAGGTGCTGAGACATGTCAGTATGCATCTTTGTACTGCAGCATGCCAGACTACACCGCCGAGATCTACAGGCATGGCTTCGAACAATTTACAAACCAAGCGAACACAGTCTAGACCTCTCACTGTCTGTTCCACTGTGGGTTCTACGATCACTCCACCGGTGTAAGGACCAAAACCTGCACAGGTGTTCCATTGTTGCAGATTCCCCCTACCGTAGCGATAATGTCAGATGCTTCACTTTTGGGTTGGAGGGGCACATCTGGGATCTCACAAGGTACAGGGAAAGTGGTCACGACAAGAATAGTTTCTCCATATCAATCTTTTGGAATTGAGAACCATCAAAAATGCTTGTCTACACTGTCTACTACTAATCAAATTGAAATCAGTAAAGATAATGCCAGAAAACGTAGTATGCATGTATTATATCAACCATCAGGGAGGCACATGTTCCTCCATCTCTCTGTGCCAAAGTGATAAAATTCTGGAATTGGTACATAGCCAACCACATAGTCATCTGAGCTTCTTACAGGCCAGGTATTCAGAACACCATGGCAGACAACCTCACCAGATGTTTCTTCCTAAATTATGAGTCCTCCACATGATATTCATAGCCTAGGAGTTCCCGGAGGTTGATCTGTTTGCTATGGCAGCCAGTGCAAAATGCATCAGGTATTGCTCTTGAGGGAAGCTTGATCCCCAATCCATCAGAGACATGTTCCTCATCTCATGGGTGAAAGCACTTCTGTATGAACACTGCTACTGTTAAAGGTACTAAACAAGATTGATCCAGAGTCTCATTGATTGCACCAATGTGGCTAAGAAGGGTCTGGTATCCCTACTGATCACATCTCGCCCTTTTTGGAAGCTTCTGATCAGTCCTCGCCTACTGATGATTACTTCCACTGAATTTCAAAAGGACTTGGACACCTTATTTCCTTGGGCTCCTCTGGAAATTCCAGTTGTAGAGCTTCAGCTTTAGAGTTGAACTGAAAGGAGAAACAACCTTAACTTTAGTTCTTGATAGCTAATTCTCATACCTTTAACAGTGTTGAAAACTGGAGTCTCACTTGGCATTAGTGATGAGGGACATCTTTAGTCCTGGGGGGAATGCTGCACCTTGAACTCGGACTTTGGTCAGCAAGGAAATAACTTAGAATTTGGTCAATTTCTAAAATTAGAAATAACGTGTATGTTACAAAACAACCTTTCATTTAATCTTGAACTGTTTTTTCTTGCTCTTGTGGGTTTGTTAAACTTAGCTTTATGTAAATGTATTTTTTGTGGATTATCTGTACACTTATAAATTTCAAATATATATTTCTCTGCCTTCCCATTGTGTCTTTTAGGGTGCCCTTAGAGAGGGATAATTCAGAAGAATTTTTAAAACGGGAAGCAAGAGCAGCTCAATTAGCAGAAGAAATTGAATCAAGTGCCCAGTACAAAGCTCGGGTTGCCTTGGAAAACGATGACCGGACAGAAGAAGAAAAATATACTGCTGTTCAGAGAAATTCAAGTGAACGAGAAGGACATGGTGTGAACACTAGGTATTTAAAGGGAAAAATACTACTCATAGTTTGTTAAAGATAAACGTAGTACAGTAGTAATTTACGCATTGAGACTTATTTGTCTTTGCCAGTTATTATGGCTGTTTTTAAAAAAGAAAAGACAAATTGTTGGAGAGTAGGGAAGAAACAGTGTAATCAGTATATTGAATTCACACAGACTTCAGGAAATAGCAATGTAGGCTCTGCATGTCACATATCAAAGCATCTAAAATGCCCCAAAAAACCTTGAAAATTCAGCATTAAATTATCCAGCGTCCTGCAGGATTATAGAAACCACACTGTGAGGGCTTACATATAGTATCGACAGCTACATACTGCATGTAAGTATTCTTTTTGTTCTGAAATTGAACCATTAAAAGAGTACAAAATTTGAACTAGGAGGTGTAGGATTTACCTTCATTTTGATTGGAGTGGGGAAGGTACATACAAGTAAAGTTTATTCGTTCTTTGACTGGTCAGATAATTTCTTATTTTCCATCTCTGGCTATAACACTGAAAGGAATTTTCTGTTCCAGGGAAAGCAAGTATGTTCCAACTGGACAACGAAATAGAGATGTTCTGTCCTGGGGAGGAGGCAGACAAAATTCACCAAGGATGGGCCCGTCTGGATCGGGCCCCTCAATTTCAAGATCTGGATCCCATACTTCAGACTTTAGTCCTAATTCTGGAGCAGACCAAAGAGTAGTTAATGGAGGCAAGTATCTCAGTTAAATCAATGAGTCTTAATTGAGTGACTTCTTGTTTCTAAAAATGTGGCAACTATGAAGTTATGTGAAATACTGATCACAAAACAAAACAATCATCCTACAACTAAAATAGCAAAAACTGATGTTCCTTTTTCCAAGGTTAAGTCAGACTAGTATATAGAGTTCATGGTTTTCACTTTGGTTTAACCTTTTATTGCTATCTGGTAATGAACACTTAAATATTTACTCAACTACATTGTGGGTAATTTCATGCAGCTGAGAACTTAATTTGTTTACCTTCTGCTAAAATACCTTAAACTTGAAGGGGAAGATGGACCTTTAGATGACTGATATACGTTTCTGTAGTGTTGTACATGTTAAATTAGTGACGATCAGCTTTGTGTTGTGGGTGGGTGTGAGAAGAGTTGAAGTACTGATCTCCAGATGTCAAACTAGTTTCTGGTGTGACTTGGGAAAGAGGCAGCAGTATAAGAAGAAATAGCACTTGGCGCTCGTGTATGAGGACCCAATCCAACTTCCTCTGAAAGCAGTGTAAAGGATCCCATTGATTTCGGTGTGAGTTAGTGTGGCGTGATTAAGATATGCAATAGGAAGGAAAAACAACTGGGTAGAGAGGGAAGGTCTCCAGAAGTTTTCTCTCCAGATAAATACTCTTGAGTATCTTCGGCTGTGTGTACGTTTGTGTACCTATATAGATATATATCTGTAACTGAGCAAAGTGCAGCACTGTTTCCTTTAACAGAGCTAATTGAGTCCTATATGCTGCGAACTGGACGTTCAGTTGTTGGCATGTGTTGCTTATTGAGTTCAGTAATACTCCAGCCTCGTTGGAATACTTTTATTTTTTTTAAAAAACCTAACATTTAAAGATGTGGAGAAATAAAACAGCACATAATACTCAAGTGTGGCGCTCTGGGGAGGAGACCTGGGCAATACCTAGATAAAGGTAAGTGATGTTTACTACTTAAATATTTTTCCTTTAAACGTTCTGATCTGCAGCACTCAACTACTGCCCAAACAGTATAAATTTTGTTTGAAATCTACATTTCGTGCCTGTATTGTTCATTGTATTAGTTTATTGAATGCACATCAGTCAGAAGTTTATGCATTATGTTCTTAAATTATGAAGTTGGTTGCTTTGTTTCAAAAACAAATTTTAAATAAGCCCTCTACAGAAGTGGTAGGGGCACAAATGTCAGACATCAGACACTGAACACCGCTGTTTTTTGTAAAGATATAGTTTCTATAGTTGATATCGCTCATTGTCATTAAGTTTGAAAAGTAATAGCTTGCATAGTCAGTACTGTATGTGAATCATTGTATGAGATCCTTTAGTAGCTATTTATGCATCTTATCTAGAGAAATGTGTACTGAGAAACATGTATATAAACAGGCTAACAGATTAAGCTTTAAGCTTTAACTATCTATTCCTCAGTAGTATTTGTAGATCCTAAATTAACCCTTTGGGGAGCTCATGAGCCATTCAGATATTAAATTTGACTAGTCTCGAAGAGGGGAAAACAACCTAACAGGGATTATTCTACCACTTGTAGAAATGAATGAATTTGTCCCCAAAGGGTTAATCATATGAAAAATCATTTTTGTCATATTTTACTTTTTTTTCTGTTTACCTTTTTCCCCCCATAATTTTTCTTTAGTTTTTATACTTTCCTTCATATCATTTGTTCTGTCAGGTGTTCCCTGGCCATCGCCTTGCCCATCTCCTTCCTCTCGCCCACCTTCTCGCTACCAGTCAGGTCCCAACTCTCTTCCACCTCGGGCAGCCACCCCTACAAGGCCGCCCTCCAGGCCCCCCTCGCGGCCGTCCAGGCCCCCGTCTCACCCCTCTGCTCATGGTTCTCCAGCTCCTGTCTCTACTATGCCTAAACGCATGTCTGCAGAAGGTACAATACCACAATTTGTTCATGTTTTTGTTTGTCTTTGTTTAACTCCTTTGTGAGTTTAATTACAAAATTGTTTTTCCTCTTCATTACTTAACCTATAATTTGTGTTTAACTTTAGTTTATCAGACTATTTCTATTAACCTTTTTATTTAAAGAAACTTTACAAAAACAAAATATAAAGCTGTGAAATTTCCCGAGTTGGTATGAAATAAACTCAGCTTTGTAACGCTGCTCAGTGTCTTAACCTAGCAAACGGCAACACACAGGGCCTGGCAGTTTTTTTAGAAGGCTTTCTTAGGAATGTTGTTTTTAGGATTGCTGTAAAAATCTCAAGCATTTTGTCATGTTGTACCACATACAACAGTTAACCAAACTCATTCCAACTGCTTACTCACAGATCCCAAAATCCTGTTTTTGATAAAAGTGCACTGTGAAAAGAGATTAGAATGAGTTACTTTAAAAATGAACCTATAGAAAATATTGACATAATTGACGCTTACATCAGTGGGGCAGCAGCGTGGTATACCTTTGGTAGCTAACAGTACATATAAAGGATCACATTCTTCAATCTCATAGTTATATGTGAAGAAGTGTTTGAACTAAATTTATATATGGTGCACTCCAGTATTATGGTGATGGGCACCTCATGAATGTGTGATTCATAGTCAAATCATGTAAAGAAATAGACAATACTGCATACCAGTGCACTAGCTGGAAAGTTGATGGCCCCTCAAAATAGATATTTCAGCAGAAACTTCAGTAAGGGACACAGCAATCTCCGATCAGCTGAATCCATTACTAATATGCCGTGACTTCCCTGCTAGAATCTCAAGATCATCTCTTTCAAAGATGATGGTAATAGACGTACCCGCAGGAGTTTCCTTCATTGCTTTTGGCTATCATTGCTAGCCTTATTGACTAAATAAAATCTTGAGAATCCGGCATGCAAGTTCCACTGTTTTTTATCTGCTCCGATTCAACAAGTGTGGAATGAAGCATGTTAGATGGTTCAGGTTTCAACACTCCTCCAGAGGAAGCTAGTAGACTAGTTTGTTTGGCTCAGGTCACAGTAAGCAATATTAAAATGCACATAATTCTTGAATTTAAAATTTCTCAGGAAGTAAATTGGTGCTGCAAAATTTTTCCTTTAAAGGCTAATGAAGCTTGTAACTGCTAGTGAATTCATGCTCAGATATCAAGATGATTGGCAAGTTAAGATTCCTAGACTGATTGGACCAGTAATATTCACCCATGTGTCCAATTGCCCTGAACCCATGGAACCCCGGTTATGGTCGACACCTATTTAACTTGCTTGACTTTATTGTCCTACTAGAGCTTACTGGAATTGGAGCTTAGATCCAGTTGTAAAAATGGATAGTAAACTTAGCTACACTTACAGTAAGAGAGATATTAGGTATTCATAGTGTGGGGATGTGTTCTTCTTCCCAGGGCCACCACGGATGTCTCCTAAGGCACAACGGCACCCTCGAGGTCACAGAGTCTCTACTGGTAGGGGTACAATTTCAAGTGGCTTAGAATTTGTATCTCATAATGCACCAGGGGAAGCATCTACTTCTACAGTGGCACGAGGCAGCCCATCAGGTGGGACGTGGTCATCAGTTGTCAGTGGGGGTAGGTATAGCTTGGCTTATTGCAGATGGTTTTCTAGGGATGTTTTTAGAATATTAATGTTAAGCAGAATCTTAAACTCCCAGGCAGTTCAGCCTTTGAATAAACATCAGATCTGCTAAATGATTGTATTATTGCCTTAACTTCAAAGGGGTTGTTCCGTCAGCTGTTTGCTGCAATTAAACATAATTGAAAGGAAGGAAAATGCCTAGGAGTTAGCTGAAAGGAAGTGTAGTCCTAAGAAAGCTATTGGAAGAGGCGAGTAACAGTGTATAGGCCCCATTCCCACAACTATACCTCAGTAACTGCTGTATGACTAAATTCATGTGCAGTTGTATATGAACAAGAACCTTGGGTAGAGAGGAAAGTAAGAGTGATAGGCCAAGAAAAGTTGGAATTCTACTTAAGGTGAAGCCTTTATAAGGGAATTCAAAATTACATGTTTCTCTTAAAACTGTCCTACGTTTTAAATTGCTTCCTTTCCATTCTTATAAATCAGGATTACTGTGTACAGTCAGTACAAATAGGTCTGTCTCGTTCTGTTATAGCTCTGAATTCTTTCAATCAGAATTTTCAGTTAACAGCCTCTTAATTGAAGGCATAGTATTTAAAGCTTATTTTTATGACACTGAATGTCTACTCTAGAGGCTTTTAAACTCTTTTATGGTGTGGACTGTGTCTTAGTGAGTTAGCAACAGTCCGCCCCCAACAAGTGAGATACAGTCTGGAACTGGAAGCTTAGCACTGCTAGACCTCTAGATGATTGTGCAATGGAGACACTGTTTTAATGAAAGAATATGTGAACAGATTGTCATTGTGTAATGCATAGCCACATTTTGATAGACTAAGGCTGTTTCTTAGACCTGCTGCCTTAAGCTTTCTATTTTAGTACAATTCTGTCACTCTCCTTGGTGATTTTTCTTCTTTCTTTTATTAACATACAATAGGGCTATTAACATGAAAACAGGATATTTTTTTAGTCTTTTCTTTCATCTCACTTGAAGTCATAATCTTTTGGCATCACAGCTAGTTGCTTTCAAGATAATCAATGTCAAAGCAGATTATAATATATGGCGAGGAATAGGCTGGAGGAGCAGGTGGTCTCCTAAAGAATATTTATTCTGTATGCATATATTTCTTCTTAGTTATAGAACTTCTGGGGTGGCAGCAAATTTCATATATAAGTATCTGTCTCAGTGGAATACTTCAGTTTCCCAGTAGGCATCAATCTCTAAAGAGGAGCATGTAAAGCAAGTCATGTGTAAGATTCTCATATCCTTCAGTCACTTTTAAAAAAGTGTTTTACATTTGTTTGTATAGCGGGCCACCTCTTTTGCTGTGCCTGAAACTGTGTGTTAATCTGAGCTGTTATGGTTGGACCGATTTGGAATTGCAGCTTCGTTGTAGGACTGCAGGGCAGTGATTGTGTATTGAGGGAATCTTTCTGCAGACAAATCCTACATGTAATCTGAAATGCTGCATTATAAAGAACTAAGAAATGTACCTGAAAGGTAAACAGGTTTTCAATAATTGTATTATGTTGCACTAACTATTTTTAAAGCATGTTCTTAGGCTTCATTTTTTTTTTAAGCACTTAACAGCTATAGGGGCTCAACTATCCTATAACTATTGTTTCTATTTATTCTAGTTCCAAGATTATCCCCTAAAACACACAGGCCTAGGTCGCCAAGACAGAGCAGTGTTGGAAGTACTCCAGCTGGGCCAGCTCTGTCCTCTCCGCAAGCTGGTACTATTCCTACTGAATCAGTTGCCATGCCTGTCCCAGCTGCATCTCCCACACCTGCCAGTCCTGCATCCAATAGAGCAGTTACCCCATCCAGTGAAGGTAAAGTGTTCTGATACTTTAAATTCTTCAGTTTTAGTCTTAAGTGAAGGGAAAGGATATACTGACCCAAACACTACACTTCTTTCCTATTAGAAACAAAATTTTTCTTCTGTTTTGTGCATTTGATTGCATTGTGTTCCACTGTATATAGTCAGTTGAGTGTGGGGGTGGGTATCTTACACAGCAACACTGCTGAAAAAAATTTTGATAGGCTAAGGCTATGTCTACACTACAGAGCCTGTGTTTGCATAGCTAGTGTGGCATAGCCCCTACTGTAGATGCAGCATACACCGCCAGAAGGAATTTTTTCTGCTGGTGTAGGAACATCACATCTGGATAACATTAGCTATGCCAGCAGAAGCACTCTTCTGTCTGCATCTGTGCTGGGGGGGGGTTTGTTGGCATAGCTGTGTCAGTCACGGTTGTGAGGTTGTTGTTTTTTTTCCATGTCTCTGACTGATATAGCTATGCTAACGCATATTTTAAATGTAGACCAAGCCTAATAAACTTCTCCCCATTCCTCTGTACTTCTCTTAACAGAATGTGTAGCATACAGTTATTGTCATACTTAGTTAAAGGTGACTTGAAAAGATTTTTTTTAAAACTGAATTTGCAGCCTTTTCTTGTGCCCAAAATATCAGCAATATAAAATCCATTTTTTGTTAGCAGAATGCTTGAAGGTCTCAGAACTCCCAAACATCTGTAAAACCTTAATTGAAGAGCCCAGGCGGTTCATTTTTCTAACAGTGGCTTTCTTTATCCAAACTGTTTAAATCTTTCACTTGACTGTTGTGAGTTCTTTTCACTAGTTCTCAAGTCACCATAGTCCTTCAGCCCAGGCAGGCCCCGAATTTCTAATGTAAAGTGCAATTTTTTTTTTCCAGGTTCTCATTAGACGACATAAAGCATTTAAAAAAATTAAGCCTATTATTTTTCCTTTGCAGCTTACCTTTAACAGAATTTTCATAAATGTAAAATGGTTCTTAGCTTCCTCTTCTTCCTCTTATGTTCTCTTCTGGCCTAAAGTTTTCCCTCAAATATTTCTTCCCCTGCAGTTCTTACCATCTTCTTTGAGGTGTGTGTCTATACATAATATATATATTTGAAAGTAACTTTGAATTGAAATTATATTTCTAGCTAAAGATTCCAGGCTTCAGGACCAGAGGCAGAATTCTGCAGCTGGAAACAAGGAAAATGCTAAGCCAAGTGAGATTTCTCCTAGCTTTACTAAACCTGAAAACAAAGGTTTGTATCTAAAAGTTCCCTTCAATATTTTTAGCGTAATTTAGGGAATTGTAAGCACAAATCCCAGTATCAACTAGTGAAGTTAACTTCTTATTAGAGTGACTTTTAGGCAGTTGCTTCAGCTTTCTATAGGTAAGAATTTTTGTTCATGCAGCTGTGAAAGTGAACTTTGCAGAGGGATTATTATTCCTTAACCATTCCATCAAAATTAAAATAAAATATGGAAACACTTCTGTTGACTAGTTTTGTAAAGACTTGTTTTTAACCAAGCTTAAATGGACCAGAGTTTCCCTTTTAAGTATTATGTTCATGATACATAAGATTTTTGCTTCTTGGATATTATAGTTCTCATAGTAACAAAAAGTAAATGTATGGTTTTGATTCAGGTTTCTTTATAACCTGCTCCATAGTTGCTCATAGGTCTCAAAAAATCTTCTATGGGGGGGAGGGATAGCTCAGTGGTTTGAGCATTGGCCTGCTAAACCCAGGGTTGTGAGTTCAATCCTTGAGGGGGCCATTTAGGGATCTGGGGCAAAAATCTATCTCGGGATTAGTCCTGCTTTGAGCAGGGGGTTGGACTAGATGACCTCCTGAGGTCTCTTCCAACCCTGATATTCTGTGATTATTAATTTTTTTTTCAGTTTAGTCTCTAGTCTTAACATTTTAATGTTTCTGGCCATATGCAATGTAAACTTTAAGGTTATATTATTGCATTGGCGTCTGACAGAGTGCATTGCAGAGTTCCTTAGCTCTACATCTAGGTTTTCCTGTATCTAGAGTGTGGTGTAGCAAAAACGTATGGATCTGCCAAAAAATAACCCTGGTTTCAGGGGTAAGGATTTTTGTGTGTTTAAGAATGCAGTTTGTGGAGTTGTGTAAAACTGTATAGCTACAATGAAGCAGCTGAGTTTTTTTTTTTTTTTTTTTTTTAAGAAGAAAATAAGCACAAAGATCTACATTAATGTTGCAAATTTAAAATATGAAATGCAGAAGTTATGTTTCCTAGAAATGGCTGAATAACGTGAATGGAAAAATTAACAACTAATGGTTATTCAGAAAAATTCATTGACCTAGTCAATTATTCAGTCAGCAATAGTTTTTGTAGTTAACTTGCACACAGGTTGTACTTTGAATTACTAATTAGGCCAAATTGTTTTGTATTAAAGTTAGAACACTTGCATTTCCTTGTTTATTTTAAATTTGTAACTTGATGTTGTATTACGTGTGTGTGTGTGTGTGTGTGTGTGTGTGTGTGTTCCTTATTGTGAATTATGGCCTGCTGTCATTCTTTTGTAGGGTTCTAGTAATATAAAGCACAGAACCTGTTTTTTTTTTTTTTTTTTTGTGTGGTCTCCATAAAAAGATTAACAGCCCTGTACTTCAAATGGTTTAAAAGCCATGGCTCTCACACAACTAATTTGAGAGTGGGAAAAGCAGAATCGAACGAGACTGCTTCAGTTTGGGGAAACAGGAGTGAGTGGCTGCAGTTTCTTGAGATACAGAGCTGCTTCTACTTCTCTCTCTGCTTTGTTTAGAAACGTGGGTAGGAGGTTGATACATTACTGGATCTTTCCTCTTTAGTACAGCTCAAGATTCTGGAGGCTGCATTGTAACTAAATTTAAGTATCTCTGCAGATAAAGCACAAAATGTAACTTAAAATCCCCAAAGTGTAATGTATTGAAGGGAGCACTTAGATAACTGATCAATCAGTTCAGCCCTTAGAGCTTTTCAATTTCTCTTATGCAGTGATTTGGATTAGAATTGCCACTGAATGTTTGCTCCCGTTGGAGTAACAACAACTTTCCAAATCAAAGGCATTATCTTTCTTTCATTCTTGGAAACATGATATTTGTGTTACTGACATGACTCCAGTTATTATAAGTTTTGTTTTATGTGGAGTAGGAGTTTGGATTTTTCATGTGTATATTATGTTCGGCAGGTGTATCTTCAGTTGTTTCAGAACACAGAAAACAGATTGATGATTTAAAGAAATTTAAGAACGACTTTAGGGTAAGTGTCTTTCATGTGGGTGTTGACTAAAAAGAGAGTTTTATACCGTCCTTTTCCTTTGATGTGCATCTATATTTTCAGTTAAGGAGTTGAGCATATTTATCAATAGGAAAATAGGCCCTTAAATTAATGAGTACATATTAGAATGTCATTCAAACAAACATATTCATATAAGATCGTGACACAAGCCAATATAAACAGTCAGTGCTGACTCTCCTTAATCTGTATGTGGTACTTAGGTGTCTCAGACTATTGAGCATATGTAAAATGCAGATTCTACCGTATATACTTGATCATAAGCCGGTTCGTTTATAAGCCGACTCCCCCCCCCTCCCCAAGATGGATAAGTAAAAATTATAATTTAGATACTGTCTATTGGAACACTAGTTGGAACCCTTTTGTGTCTCACTGTAAATAGCTAGAGCACTTGGGGCACGTATAATTAACTGTGATGTAGCTATGTTGCACATCTTCCCTCCCAGAGAACCTCTAAATCTCAAAAGCAGCTATGCCATAATATATCTAATAGTTTGCCTAACTTAAAACATTTAATTGAACCTTTTAGCTATCTGGGGGCAAAAATGGCTTCTTAAATTGCTATCTCATCATTAAGTGTTACTGTTACATTGTATTGAATAGTGTCTAGTACTTCTTAGTTGTTGCTGTGATTTGTACCTTCATTAGAAAATGAAAAGGAAACTTCTTCAATCCCATCAAATTTGTTCTTTCATCTAAGCCTCCTTAAGTTTATAGACCCATCACATATGTGTGCTTATTTCTGTTTTTAGTGATGAAACCTGCATCTTCTGTTAAAATAATTTCAGGTTCCTACAGCTGAACAGTTTATGGAAATTTTCCTTTTTGATTGCATAAGTATTGTTGGTAGTAATTCATGTGTTTTCTGTATCCCTGCATAGGGATGATATTTATCAAAAGTGTTAACTGTTGGTGCTTTCAGTTACAGCCAAGTTCCACCCCAGAGACTGTGGATCAACTGCTAAACAAAAATCGAGAAGGTGAAAAATCCAGAGATGTGATTAAAGAGAAAACAGAATCAAACTCTAAAGAATCTGTCATTGAAACCAGCAGTAATGCGAACTCTAACAGTGGCAGTAGCAAATCGAATAGTCCCAGTATTTCTCCATCAACTAGTAGTAGCTCTGAGCAGAAGCGAGGGCCAGAGGTAACCTCTCAGGGTGTACAGACATCTGGACCTGGAAGTAAACAAGATAAAGAGGATAAAGAAGAGAAGAAAGATACCTCTGAGTAAGTAATTGTGTTCTTAATAAGCAAGTCAGGTGTGTTCTGTTTTTAGAATCCCCTGCAAAGGGGAGAGCTACTGTTTGAAAAAATTAACTCTTAGTATTTATATAGGACTTTACATTAATGAATTAATCTTCACAACGCCTCTGAGTTAGGTGGGTAAACATCTGCGTTTTACAAATGGGGAAATTGAGGCAGAAGTTAAATGACTTGGCCAAAGACACGCTGCAGGTTGGTGGCCGAGCTAGAACTCTGGTCCTCCTGCTACCTAATCCTGCACTCATTTGGCTAAACGCTGTCCCTTTGTCAATCAGACTAAGCACCATCAAAAATGTGCTTTGTAGAAATAAGTGTAGTAGATGACTTTTTCCTTTTTCTTTCCATATAGTGTGATTAGCCGTGTTTCCCATAAGTCTTCTCAGTTGTAAACCTAATCTGACAATATTTTTATGTTGTGATGGGATTTTAATAACTCTAACAGTTGAACTGTGGAAGACTTCAGGGGAAATGTTTGTGAAGGAATATCTCTGAACTTTAAATCCTTTGTGTTTTTGTGTGTAGGCAAGTTAGGAAATCAACACTTAATCCCAATGCAAAGGAGTTCAACCCTCGATCTTTTGCTCAAGTAAGTTGATAGTTGTATTAAGCGATATTGCATGTGGTGACATACAACCTCTCAAGTAATTGCACAGTAATATTGTTTTTCTTTGTACACTTGGGTCAAGTACGCTGTATTCTGCTAGTTGAGTCTGAGGGCTGGTCTACACTGGGAATTTACATTGACATAGCTATGTTTTTCAGGGCTGTAAAAAAAAAAAAATCCACACACCTGAGAGATGTAGCTGTGCTAACCCAACCCCTGGTGTAGAAGACAGTGCTACTGTCTCTCAGGGAGGTAGATTACCTATGCCAATGAGAGAGCCCCTCCCATTGGTGTAAGTAGTGTCTACGCTGAAGCGCTAAAGCAGTGCTGCTCTGGCGTTTGAAGTGTAGACATACCCTTTGTGACTCTGACCAATTCTCCTTCATAATTTAACAGTGTACCAGATTAATTCTCAGGGTTTTTAAGAACAGCAGTTTGGTACATCAAACCATAACACATTTTGAAAGGGGTTCACTATATTTCAGTAAACAACAGACTACACCAAATGTGGAGTACTATTTTATTTAATAAAAAAGGCTGTCTTCGATACCAGGTCTGAGTGACCATTTGGGAGGCCATATTATATTTCCTTCAGATCTTCACCACATATCCTCACATCCCCTCCCTCACCCATTGTTTAAACTGGTTCTTAATTACATTCTTCTGAACTCTAATGACCGTATTTAACTTAATGGAACTTATTCACAGATAGTCACAAGCCCTCTAGGAAGGCTTTCAAGATTTTGGTCTTGACTGACAACAATATTCTACCTGGAGCTGTTGCCAGGGGGTCCAAAGCCAGTCCACCTTTCCCTTGAAAAGTTTCCTCCTCCTAGTGAGGAAACAGCAGCTGTGAATGTTACATCCGGTCTACCACAAGGAGGGTCTGCGGCATCTTTGAAAACTGCTGCTGCTAGGAAATGTGCTCTTAGCCCTTGCCCTTGCCTTCCCCTTCCCCACCAGCAGTGTGCCATTTCTGTAGTGCTCTCCTCCTCTGCTCAAGGAGCAAGCCTTTCTGCTTTGAAGTACTTTGAGTCAGAAAACACTAACTCTAGCACTAGCCTTCAGAGTCTTAAAATCTTGATAAACTTTTCTTCTTTGTCTTTTTAACTTCACCATGCAATCAAATGAAAAGAATTTACATGTTTTAAATGCCTGTCTTTAAAGAAGCACAACCTGTTCCATTCCTATCTGACTGCAATGAGCAAACTCTGAGCATAGGTAAAACTGGCATACATGGTATACATGAGTGAACTGTGCACTGACACAGAGTGAACTGTTTCATTTATTTGTAGCCCAAGCCTTCTACTACACCAACCTCACCTCGTCCACAAGCTCAGCCTAGCCCTTCTATGGTGGGTCATCAACAGCCAACTCCTGTGTATACTCAGCCTGTTTGTTTTGCACCAAATATGATGTACCCGGTCCCAGTGAGCCCAGGCGTGCAGGTAAAATAGATTTGTCTAACAGCTTAACTAAATATAATATTCTTGGCACATTTAAGATGATGATTAATAGGAGGTGGGACTTAAAATCAGAAGTAAGCTGTTAGTGCCCGGTTGTGCCAGGTGCTGTACAGGGATAGATGTGCTCTGTGATCAATATTTACGCCATTATTCAGATGTATGTTTAATATTTATGTAAGCAACTAAAAAATAGAAAACTTCCCCAATTGCCTCTGAGCGTAACTGATATATTGCTTGATTTCTTATAGGTGTTATTTGCAGAAGTGGGTTTTGAAGGGACTTCAGTTCATATATACAGGCCTACCCTCATGCTTTCACTTGCCCAAATACTAGTGAAGATAGCGCTGAGTTTTGTGCCTCAGGCTACCAAATACATAGTTGTCTAGCACTCTAAATTCCAGCCTCTGTCATTGTAGAGGCTACATCCTATATGATAGAAAGCTTGAAGTGCTGCATTTGGCCGTAAATCCGATCCATAAACTTTCTATTGTAGATGTTGTTCAGAGTAGCACATCCAATCACTACTAGCCTCAAGAGTGGTTTATTGGAAATTTTTAAGAGCAGGTTAGACAAACATCTGTCATGGATGGTCTAGATAATATTTAATCCTGCCATGAGTGCAGGGGACTGGACTAGATGACCTCTCGAGGTCCCTTCCAATCCTACAATTCTATGATTTCTACATGTGGTCTGTAGATGTTCGGACATGCAGACTTAATAATAGTAGCTATAATAGAATGCTATGTATTAGGCAATTGGAAACTTGAGCTGTGCTTACAAGCCTAGAACATTTATTAATCTTCTGGTCCCTTGCCAAAATTTAGTGTTTTTAGTCACAATATAAAGACTCAACTAATAGTCTTTCCAATTAAATATTTTTTGGGAGAATGAGAGAAAAAAGGATTACTGCAGTAATGTTGAAGCTATCCTTCTGAAATGTTAAACGAAGGGTGCCTATACTGTATCTGATAGCTTCCCAAATGCAAGTTAGATCCCACTGTTTTGAATCTACACAAATTCCTGGCTGACAAATAGCCTGTAGTAGGTAAGACTGTGAGCTTTTCAAATATTGATACCATGAAACTCTAGTCTAGGACAAAAAACCATCAAACACGCAAAATGCTGCAGCACATTTTCTCTTAGCATAGCTGTTCATCCTCTGTAACTAGAATGTGATAGGGTTATTTTTGGTAACTACTAAATAATATACACTATTACCCTTTGAATGGTAATAGCTTTTCAGTGATGTCACATAAAAGAAAATTAAAATGCTAATATAGCAGCATAAAGTTTTAAATTCAAATTAATTATGCAATAGCTTTCCAACCAGTCTTTAAGATCTTTTTTACTGAGACTCAAGTAAGGTACAACATTCTAATCACTAAAACAATCTGTTTGACTGTGTCATCTTAAAATTAAATGTACTTCACTGCTCCTTTTCTATGTCCTTTTTTTCTTTTTTGTATCAGTTGCCTATGTAGTGTCTGCAGTGATTTATTGTTTAAGTGTTTAAATATAAAACCTAAAATTCACAGGTAATAAATAAATTAATACGGTCTCAGACAAATCCTAAAAAATTAATCTCAGATGCTGGAAAAATAGTTACTTGTACAGTTTAAAAAAGGCTCCAAAGAGTCATTGGAAACCTCTCTAAATCTAGTCACTTCATAGTTCAGTCTAGTAGCTTCTTTAATATTCATTCTGCATAAGCTAAAATTGCAGTTGTAGTCTGCAGTGGCTGAGGAAATGGCAACGAGAGGTTCCCTGGACAAAGCTTTCTAACTTGAGTGCTGAAAGTTTGGTACCGATTGCAAACCACTCTGGGCAGGGATGGTGTATTGTTTTCCCATATGTCTGGAAACACGTGCCTGATTGGGGAATATGGTCTCTGCTGCATTACAAATCATGTATTGTTTGCAGTGTTGGTCCCAGGATATGAGACGCAAGGTGGATGAGGAGTTCTGTGGAGCTGAAAAACTTGTCTCTTACCAACAGAAGTTGGCCCAATAAAAGATACCACCTCACCCAACTTGTCTGTCTTTTAAATCACATGGAGGCATTCAAGTGGGGTCTGCAGGGATCAGTACTAGGCCTGGGCCTGATGCTGTTCCAGATCATTAATAAAAATATTGGAGTAAATATAAAATCTGTGCTGATGATAAAACTTGCATACGACACAGATTGGCAGAGTGGTAAATAAGGAATGAGTCCAGGGCGCATATGATGCAATTTGGACTGATTGATAAGATGGGCCCATGTAGACAATGCATTTTAATATAGCCAAATGCATGGTCATACATCTAGGAACAAAGAATGCAGGCCCTACTTGCAGAATAGGGGACTGTATCTTGGAAAGCTGTGACTCTGAAAAGGACTTAGGGGTCATAATGGACAAGCAACTGAACATGAGCTCCCAGTGTGGTGATGTGTCAAAAAGGGCTAATATGATCCTTAATATGTTGAAAAATTAGCATGGGTACAGAAAAGAGCCCCACAAACTTTTTGAGTGATGGAGAAAATGCTTTTACAGTGAGAGACTTAGAGCACAATCTGTTAAGCTTATTTAAAAAATAAAAAATAAAAAATTGAGAAGTGACTTGATTGCAATGTATAAGGATCTCCATAAGGAGACAATAACAGGTACTAAATGGCTCTTCAGTCTAGCAGAGAAAGGTGGAACAAAAGCCAATGGTTGGATGCTAAAGCCAGACAAATTCAAATTAAAAATAAGGCAGACATTTTTAACCATTGGAACAAACTATCAACGAAGTGGTGGATTCGCCATCTCTTGATATTTCCAAATCAAAAGTGGTAGATGCCTTTCTGGAAGAATACTTTAGGTACATGCAGATTAGTGGGCTTAATGCAGAGGGTGGCAATGTGAAATTCTCTGGCCTTCGTTATATAGAGGTTTAGACTAGATGATGGTCTCTTCTGGCCTTAAAATTTATACATTTAAACAGCTGGTAAAACAATTGGTTTTCCGAGGTGTAAAATACCACCCACTTACATTAAAAGAAGCTCTGAAAAATCAGGCAGCACTTGGGTCCTAAAGTTAGGCTCCTAGACCTCAAAACTTGGGCCTATATTGTGCCTCCTTGACTCCAGAGGAAATGTTTTTGGTCCACAAGTATAAAGATATTTTTCCAATCATCTGTCCTACAAACTCAACCTGGAATATGGAAATGAAGCTGGGTTCTTTCTGGCTCATGCCTCATCACCATTGCTGAACCACCTCAGACATGTAACAGTGCAGAATCTGGTTCTGTATATGAAATTGTTACAACTTGAGTCATCAATGAGACCGAATAGGATCCAGCTCACTCTTCAGCACCTGTGTTGGCTCTGCTGTCGTAACAAGTAAAAGACAGCAAGAAAAATAAGCGTGTACTAAAATCAGCAGATCCAGATGTACTCTGGATACATGCAGGGACTAGTTCTGAGTAAGAAGGTGCTATTTACAAGTCGTCCTTGGCATCTTCATACTCTTCTGTGTTGGGTAGGTGAGTGTAGTATAGAGAACAGTGATCACCTACCTGTAGCCTCCTAACAAGTTTATAAATAGAGCTGGAAAACTAGGGTACGCTAGCTTTTATTTCAGGGTTAACATCGCAATGGAGACCTACATAGTAGGGAAGCACTGTCCTTCCCAGGCTGTTAATATAATCATTTGTCTTATCCCATTATGGGAATAAAAACTGTACAGTTGCTCTTAGGAAAAAAACTAAGAACATTTCTAATTTCAGGGTGGTTATGAACAGTATTGTTAGATTCAGGAGTAAAAATTCTAAAGCTCATATATTTAAAACCTGTCCAAAAACATACCATAACTTCACTGAGTTCTCTTTTGTTTCAGCCTTTGTATCCTATTCCCATGACTCCCATGCCAGTGAACCAAGCCAAGACCTATAGAGCAGGTAAAGGTGAGAATAATACTGCCTGTTTGGTTTTGGACTGCATGTAGCATGAATAGGGTAACAGACATGCACATTTTTATCCAGTTCATGTTAATTTATGTCCTTTAATATCAATGTATTTTAAATTGGTACAAATACTTGAAAATCACAATGCAAAAGATAAATACATTGCTTTTGTGTTTAAAAAAAAAAATGCTGTAAGCTTGATTACAGGAGAATTGCTTGTCTTTGAATTCAGTACAGGATAACCAAATTTAAAAATGTTTACAAATCTTTTGAATTCTTTAATAGCTGACTGTTTCAATCACTAATGTTGTCCTAAACGCTGTTAGTTGACATTGTTAAAGAGGGATTCTTTCTAGCAATTTGCAGCAGAGCACTGAGCTACACCTTAGTAGAATGTTTTCTGTATATGGTACTCCTTCCACTAAGTTCTCCACTGCTCTGGTGGAAAGGGGTTATTTTCTTCCCTCCTTGTTCTACTGGAGCACTATTTAGAATGGTTTGCTGCTAGTCCTTGTATCTCACTGTCCCTTTTCATCCCTCTTGCACCTAAATAACAGAAGTGATTTAACATAATACTTTTATGGCTAGATACTGTTCTCCAATGAGTGAAAGCTTTGCTAGATAAACTGGAAAATTTGGTGTGCATGTATGGCTAAGTGCATTGTCTGCATTTCTTAATACACATCAAGTGAACGGAAGGCAGGAACTGTCTTTGTTGTTATAGCTATGTTTTAGATAATACTCTAATTCTATAATGTTGACAACTCTTGGAAATTTGGTGGCGCTCTTAAAGTCCCAGCTCCTGGAGGCAGTTGATCACGTGAGCATCTCTGCTTTGATTAAAAAAATCAAGTTTATTGCCCTAATGATTGTGGAGAAAAGCCTGAAAATGAAACAAACAAAAACCCCAGAAGCTAAATCAAAACCCAAAATGTGTTTTGTTTATTAAGTATGATTTCTGACCACTTGGGGTTGGTAATACTGATTTTACCAAATATATATTTGAGGTTTTTTTTAAGTCAACCATGCTCCTATTTCTAAGAGATCCAAGGCTATGTAGAATGTGTGAGTGTTCAAGCTCTTACAGTGCGTATTTAGACTAGATGCAGTCTCTGCTTGTAGCAGTCAGGACTTCTTTGCAGTGCTAGGTAAGAGTTTAGCTCCACTAATGAAAAATTGTGCACGTGCCTTCACTAAGGTTCAGTGGCCACTAGCGTAGTTTTTTCTTTCCTGCTCTTGTTTGACAGATGAGGTGGTCGCTTGATAATATGCAAGTGTTTTCTTGTATGTGTTAAGAGTTACTTTCCTCTATAAAACAGTTCTTCTGTTCTGAACAGCTTCCTTTAGAGTCCCTTTGGTAGCAATTTCAGTTTTGTGAACCTGGAGCCATACACATTTCTCTTCAACAATCAGGTTCATGTAGAGCTGCTTGTATTTAAATCCCCTGCACTGAAAGCTCCATTTTGTACTGATGAAACTACCTCTTTGCATTTAGAAAGATTTTTCAATTAATTTACAAACTCCGCTTATCTTTCCTCTTCAGAATCATACCCGTGTAATGTACTTCTACAGACCATGGTTAAAGTTGATAGTGAGGATATTCTAGTTGGGCTCAGTAATTTTGAATTAAAATGTTCAGGAAAGACCTGGTTACTTTAGATCCTCCTTCCTAATGTGAAATATTCCTTGCTTTGTAGTACCAAATATGCCACAACAACGCCAAGACCAGCATCATCAGAGCACCATGATGCATCCTGCCTCAGCCGCAGGCCCCCCTATTGTAGCTACACCACCAGCCTATTCAACACAGTATGTTACCTATAGTCCTCAACAGTTCCCTAATCAGCCTCTTGTGCAACATGTGCCACATTATCAGTCTCAGGTAAGACTCCTTCAGTGTGTGGTTGCCTCTTGCTGCATTCGTATTGGAACAGATGTATTATTAAGACTTAATTCTGGAATTCTATGTACTGTATCTTCTGTTACATCATGTAATTGCTACAATTAGTATTCAAGTACTGCAGAAATATTGATACTTTGCACTTCACATCATAGCCCTCCACAAACATTAATTTCCACTTGATAGTAAATACAAATCTTAAATACAGAATATTTGTACCTCATCATTAACTACATCCCATGGTGGAACATCTCTTTCAAATGATTAATTGGATGTAGATTTAAAAGATGCAGTTGCTAAAATAGTTGGTGTGGTAAGATGGATGGGATATGGTATAGTGTAAAACGTCTTTTGTTCAATTTAAAGAGACCCTTTGTCAACGTAAGATCGGCAGAGTAGTTCCTTTTGTTTCCTTTTGTGGAAGGTATTTCTCATTTTAAGTTTACAGGAGTTATCTGGATAATGGTGACAGGTATATTTTGAAAAATTCTCGTAGCTAGTGCAAAGCAAGCTGTAGCTTTTCAAATTATCATTAAGTGCCTTTAAGCATGCACTGTACGAGCTTGATTAAAGGGTGTATTTAACTTTTGTACAGACATGTTTTTTAACTAATTGATTTGTCTTTTATTTTTGGACACAGCATCCTCATGTTTATAGCCCTGTAATACAGGGTAACACTAGAATGATGGCACCACCAACACATGCACAGCCTGGTTTAGTATCTTCTTCAGCAACACAGTATGGTGCGCATGAGCAGACGCATGCTATGTATGGTAGGAAACGTTTTGTGTTATTTGTAACTTTTTATGTTGTTACATTGTGCAGGGATATATTTACTATTTCAAGCTTCAACCATTGGCATCACAGCGAAAGCTATAACCATAGACCCAGAATATGGTTCATAAAACTAATAAGCAAGGTATTGCAAACCTGAGTTATTTGATTAGAGTGAAAATAGATCCAAGTATGCTAGTTTTAATAAGACACTAGTGTTGGAGATGATGTGCCAGCATGAGAGGCTGCTAAGGAATACCAGCTTAAGCAAGTCTGTCACAGGCTTTTCTTGATGCTGTTAACACTATGTCCTTGACTGTTTCTTCATTATAACAAGGACTGTAGTGTTGTCACAAAACTGACTTCCGTTTCAAAACTTGACTTCTAGTTCTCACAACATTAGCATGATAAAACCACTGCTTTAATAATGCTAGTAATATACATTAACAGTATACTAAGATTTGTCATCTGAGGAAAATATAATTTCTGTGTGGGCGATCCTCCTTTTCTTGGCAAACCCAAGAATATAAATCCTGTTTTGAACATTTCATGTATAAGTGCTTGCTATATGATTTCAATAACAAATAGAAGTCTCCAAAGTTGTCAGTCTGGCATTTTTCACTAGCACTAACCTCACCGAAATACTTAAGTTAAAACATGAAGTGAGATACCGGTTGAGAAATACAATGCAAAGAATCTCTAAAGCCACATAAACCTGCACTAAAACAATATGTAGTCCAAAGGAAAAATTGGCTGCAAGAACTTGTCACTGAAGACTCAGTCCATGATCTTTAAGGGGGCTTAGGATTTGACACAGATATCAAAACAGAAGGATCATCTCTTGAAAATATGATCATTTAACAGTTTTTGGCTGAGTATTTGATGAAGAAATTTTGTTAGGTCAATCATAATGTTGACCTAGGGTCTGCTAAAGGGTGTCACGTAACTTTAGACACCTTTGTATGTTTTTTTTGGTGACAAAGTTTTGCATTTTTCTCCTTATGGATGAATACTGTCTATTATGAAAACTTGCAAACCCAAAAATCTAAAGCTTAATGCAGAGTTAAGATTCTGATAACAGAATCTATCATGTCTGTCTTGAAATATCATACCGAAGTCTGATCTTTGCTCGTGTGTGTTAATTCAGGAAAAAATGATGCAGATGCAGACAGCATCACAGTAAAAAGTTCTGATGCTGGATTTGGAGGAAAAGTATATTTCAGCTGAAGTTTCATGTGATACTTTCTTTTCAATTCAGCTATAACTTGTAAAGTTTAAGTAATAGGTCTTTAGGCTCACTGGCCCATGTTGACATTTGTTAAAGTATTCTGCTCTTTCATGTGCATCTTTAGTTTTTTGAGACATTCATGTAAACGGAGCTTTTATTGTGTTTTTTATGGGATTACTGTCTTGATCGAGTGACTGTTTGAAGACTTTCAGACTTCCTGGTGAAAAGGCAGTCCTCAAAAAATCCTATCTTAAATAAAACTAGATATGAAATAGTCTCTGGAATTTGGTTGTTGATTGCAACTTTCCCCAGCAACTTTATGTTGTACATCATTCTTACCTGTCACAATTTGGCAGGTCTTTGAAATCATGGTATAGGAGCAATTTTTTAATCTATTAGTGTACTTTAATCAGATATATCAAATTATTTTTCTCTCATGTTCCAACATACCATAGAACTCTAGTTTTTATATTGTTGGTTTTTTAGCTTCAGTCCATCATCGGTATATATTTCAGACAATCTAATGACACATGTTTTGGTGGTGTGACAAGCAACCTGAAAACTCTAGATTTTTGTGGTGGTGTGTCCTTCTACCTAAATCCAAGCAGCATTTCTCTTACAGAACTTGGTCTTGCCAGAAGCTAAATGTTTTCCTGAACTCTTCTGGGTGGTTATCAGTTTGCTTTTCTGAACTACTGACCCTCTCTTCTTTTTATATCTGAATGCTTGAAATGCTTGCCACAGAAATCTGCCTCAGCCCAGTCTGATGCCAGTGCTACATCATAGGTGGCTTGTAAGGAAGCACTTATGTTTGGATGATAGCATGTTCTTACCATCTTCAGGCATGTCATCTTTTGCCTGCCTTAACATAAATCAGCTAAACCATATCTTTAGCCTTCTGGACTTGCCATCAGGTATTTAGCAGATGACTCCTAATGCTGTAGCTCAAAAATAGGATATTCTTAAATCAAATGTGGCATTTAGTTTGGTTACTTTTCCCACAAATAACTACCTTGTTTCTGGATAATAAAACTTCTGCTTCCATTTATCAATATGTGGCTGTTTGCTTGAGTATCTATTTGTAGCATTTAATAGATGTGCGGCATGTGGAGTAAATTGCTATAGGGCAACTTGCTGGATGTGTTAACAGTCACTTACATTAGGAGGCGCTAGATATTTAAGCTTCCCCCAGTCACTTTTGACAGTACTGTAAGCAGGTATCTAGAACCACTTGCGTTAGAGCACAGTATTTTTTTTTCTCCACATTTTATTAATCTCAAGTGTATGCATAGCATCCAAATAGTGAATACACCAACATATCCTGGAAATAAACTTCTGATTTGGGTATGTTACTTAATTCTTCAGGAATATTTAGTGATGAATAACTTCCATATGACTATGCTATTCCCAGTTAGAAATAACAGCCACTGCTTTTAATTTCTAGAATAAATTTGCCCAAGTGAGTTCTCAGATTTTACTTCTGGCTTTTTCATTTACACTGTTGGATTTCCCATTGCTATTAAGATGATCTATATTAAGGTCCCTGTGTCCTTGAAGCTAATGGGTGCTTTCTTTGTGTTATCAAGTGATTCCCTGCATGAATCACTCCCTTTAATATCAGACTGTTGTTCTACCTGAGTGCTTGTGTTGCAGAATGAAGTCTGAAAGAACAACTGCATTGGGGGGGAAGGCGGGGGTTAATTGCTTTTAAAGCATTCTCCTAACATTTTCTTAATCAGTGAGTAAAATCTCTGAAAGCTTCACCTTCCTGATTAGTTTGAGGCAAGTAAAAATCATGACAAACAGTAGTCACTGTTCAGTGAAGAGAATTAGATTATTTGCTGAAAGTTACTTTTTTCCTTCATGGCAGAGGAATCTGAATCCTGAAACGCATGTAACATTCTATACCTGTTAAATCTTTTGGATAGTGAAGGCTAGGATGATGCAGTTTTCAAGATCCCATTTAGCTAATGCTGTGTAATTGAATGTTTCTGCTAGATGTCTACAATAACAGACAATTCAGGAGATCTGATTGGTGTCTTTGTCACTGCTCTTGAGTGCCACAATTTTGTCACCATTTCAGTTCCTGAAGTTGAATGTTCTTCAACAGATGGAAAGTAGCTAAACTATATGGGCACCATAAACTAGTGTTACTTCTAAACGTATGATGGAGCAACACCCAAATCCGTGTTTTTTCTTAAATCATTGAGAGAATGTTAAACAACTTTCTTTCCTCTTGCTCCTACAAATAAACCCTAAAACTGGACATCATTAACACAAAGACACTGATATTCACTTGATCTGTCTCTAGGTTTGAAATGTTGGCTCCTTTAAACCATATATAAATTCTTAGTGTGAAAAGTTTGAAACAGGCACTTAGCACTGAAACAAAGCAACAATATATGTATGATTGGCACGCCTACAGAACTAATTGGTTTATTGGTTCTAAAGAACAATGGCTCAAGCTTTGTACTTTCTGGTAGGTATGGGCTGTTTGTTATCTCCAGAATCCAGTGATGGGTAATCATGAATTATCAAGTTTTCTATTGACAATTCAAGCTGTGAGGACAAATATATTCCTGTAACAATTAACTGCCACTAGTTTATTGTTTGGATAAATTGTATATGTTTTAGGTAATTGCTGTCCTCTGTAAAACTTCCCTTGTGTGTGTGAAAGACTTGTGTAAAACAAAATTTTGATTTTACACAGATACATTATTTATTCTTTTGCTAGTTCTTGGACCTCTCCCTCTCTCTTCTGCACATGTTTTATTGGTCTGGTGTTCTCTCTAACCTTATCTGTTTTTCTGTCCTAGCAGTAAGTTCTAATATCCTAAATAGTACAATGGTGGGTATGTTATAAATTTCAAGGAGTCTCCAGGGATTAAGAGTGAACCATCTCCAAAGGTGTCTTTTGGAACTGTTAAGACCTCAGTGATACAGCTGAAAAAACAAAAGCCTATTTATTTGTTTACTTTATTGTAACTCTTTTAACTCGACCTGAGGTTATTGTTGGAGTGTAATAGAGGCTCAATATCTGTTCATCTTTATTTTTGTATTAAAGTAAGTAGTGGAGCCCTCAGTGTGACCGTTCAAAAGGAGAGCTTATTGGGGCTGACTTTATTTCAACTTCACTCAGTTGTAAAATTAAGTAAAAATATCCAGCCCTGTTAACTAAACAAAAATGATATCTGCATGAACGTACAATCTTCAAAAATAAATGAATGTCGACCTTTCCAGAAGATTGGAAGTATACACATGGCAAGAGGCTAATTTATCTTTCTATCTCCCAAATTCAGCATGTCCCAAAATACCATACAGCAAGGAGACAGGTCCTTCTTTCTACTTTGCCAGTGAGTTGGGTTTTTTGTACTAATTTTGATTGTACAGAAAATAATTTTTAAAGAATAGATGTTAAAGGAATAGACATGCTGAGGGAACATTTTTTCTTTGCACCAGGCCAAAATATAGAAAATATAGGAAAACTCTTTTCAAGCAACAAAGTTGTTGAATGAATGAATTTACAGGGCACCAAAACCTAAAGTACAAGGTACGTGTGACTTGTCTATAGAATAGATTTGTGTAAATACATTTCTGTGTGCCAAGTTGTTTCATTTTGTGCAACGAAGTCTTGCATCTAACTAGCCTCTACTGTATCTTGAACTGATGAAGACTTAAAGCTTCTTCTTCCTAGTCTACCACCAAAAAATAGGCATCACCCTCCTTAAGATCTCCATGAACTCCACTCCTCCCCCATCCCTGCCCAAAATAGGATTTCCAGTTTTCTCAAGGTTGGTCAAATTCCTGAAGGGAAAAAACTCCAGCACTTTACTAGCAATAAAACTCTATTTTGAGTCCTGTCGGGAGGAGAGCACCTTCTGCATCCCCGCAGTAGTCATGGGAGAGATCACTCGGGAATTCTTATTCTGGGGCCTCTGAAGGAGCATAGCAAGCAGCACATCTTGTCATTCCTGTAAAAGTGTAGCTTAGTCTCAGCCCTGTGTCCTTTCATGGGATATGGTGGAGATGAGTTCCCGCTGGCCGGGTAAGCACTACCAGTTACATTAACAGGTCCTTGTGCTTCAGCGTGCTGCCATCCATGTGGTCCTGCAGCAATGTGCTGAGTGGGGGAGTTTCTCTGCACCCTCTTTCTCCAGTGTGTGTGAGCGGGGCCAAATATAACGTGGTTCTGTATACTTAACCACAATGACTGCTAGCCTTTTTTATTAACTGATAAGCTGCTGCCAAACAAAGGTGCCAGATAGTCCAGGTACTGAACAAAGACATTATAGATTAAGCAAAATGAGTTGAAGAGGAGAATATTGGACTCACAACTTAATTATATGTCAGATAACCTCTGTATTTCTCTCCTGATAATAGATCCCAGTAACCATACACAGCACATTCCAAAATGGAGTATGTTTTATTCTCTTAGAAATAAATTACAATCTGCTGAGTGAGGTTAAATTTCTATTTGAAGGCTTTACAAAACTTGGGGAAGAAGCTTCAGAAAGAAACCCATGGTGTGCCGGGGTAGGGTCCCTAGTGGAATGGCCATAGAATAATCTCTGGTCATCCCCCCAGAGACCCTAGCCCTTCACAGATAGGTGAGGTGCAATTCCTGGGCCTCTCAACTTGCTCCTGTATTGCAGCAAGCTTGTTAGTGTCTCTATACCTGTTCATAGTAGCGATCTGTTTCATACACCCTCTGTCCTGCGAGTCAGTTCATTCAAGAGCGTATGAAGAACAATATAAATCATGTAATTTGTGTTCCCTAACAGATTTTGGTTTTAAAAGGCTTCCTAGCTTTCATTTTGGCATGCAGAAAATGTGTTTTACAGAATGACTTCCTATGATCGTATATTGAAAACTTACTTTGAGCACTTAAGGGTGTTCGCATATCTTGGTTTGGTGCACTGAAATTCCTTTAACAAGTTTCTTCCTTTAATAGATATTCTTTTAAGTGGAGTCCACTGTAAATGTGTAAAAATGATTTTGTATGTGTTTATAACATGAAAAAGACATGCTATATCTCTGCTTCCTACCATTCAAACTGAGGTCTTTAAATGTAGTTATCCTCACCATCTTACTGGGTCTGGCAATAGTCTGGAATCACTTCACTAGTCAGCACCCTGAAGCTATCTAGTAGGTTCTGAGTATCCGTGCATTACTCCTCTGACAGTTCCCACTGTGTCCATTGTCAGGTTTCCGTTTTTCCCCACAAGAGAAATTTGAACGTCAGAAGTTCAGGGATTGACTTCAGTCTAGGCTAGTGGTTGGTAATGCTGTCTCTGATCTGTGCTGCTCTGATTTTTAATGTCGGCCATTTCTGTGGGTTTACAATAGCTGCCTTTCGCCTTTCTTGCTTTGCTCTTGTTAGCAACCTTGACTGTTACTCTTTCCTTCTTGTTTTAGTTGGAATTCAATTCAGTAATTAAAACCCTGTCTGGTATAGTATCTTTGTCCAATCCAATATGGAATTGCTTGTCCTAACTGTGCATCAATATCAAAATGATGGTCTAGTTATAAATAATATAGCCCATATCAAGAAACCACCTGTTCAGAAAGTGATGTAAGTGAAGTGCTCCTAGGAAAGAAGAGACAAGGTGTGTGAGGTAAAAATTTTTTTTTTTTTTTTTTTTTTAATTGGACCAACTTCTGTCGGTGAAAGAGGAAAGCTTTCGTGCTGCAGAGCTCTTCTTAAGGAAAGAAGGCATTTCTGACTTAGGCTATGTCTATACTACAGTCAGGATCGAGGCTCTGAGATCGATCCACCGGCGGTTGATTTAGCGGGTCTAGTGAAGACCTGCCAAATTGACAGCAGATCGCTCTCCAGTTGACCCCTGTACTCTACCCTCGACAAGAAGTGTAAGGTAAGTCGATGGGAGAGTTTCTCCTGTTGACCCCCCACGGTGTCGACCAGTTATTCACGTAGCTGGAGTTGCGTAGTGTAGGTTGACTTACTGTGGTAGTGTAGACCTAGCCTTAGACTTCTGCTGGAGGCAAACCATGATTATCAGCAGTCCTCAGATGAGCAGAGGTTGCAACACTCTTTGTTAGTTATGTGCTTCCACTGTATCCTGTATTAGTACGAGAGCTGGAAAACCGTGGCACTGCTGACATGTCAAGGACAACGTAATATGATTTCTGATTACTCTTATCAGTGATTTTTTTCTTCCCATGTTTATTATAGAAATAAGCATGGAAATACTCACCTAGGGTGATTGACTCTGTGGATGAGCATGTAAAACATTGTTTATAATCAGTTGTCGTAATGAAGGTGAGTAGATTGTATCTGGGTTGGTAAATTTTCATGACTATTTTGCAAGGCTTCTTTAATGGGTTCGTGCATCTTACTCATCTGAATTAATCATGTGACACCACAATTTAAATCTCTGTGGAATCTGATTGTGATGTTAAAGACCTGACTTTAGGTGAGAGCACACAGTTACAGCGCATAAAACTCAGACTTTTCCTCTCACACATCCTTAGTAATAAAGGGAAGGAAAGGCCTTTAGAAGGTGAAATACTGTATCAGAATCTCTTTTGAATTGATGAGGTATCAGCAGCTCTGTAGAAACTGAGATTCTGTAGAAATAAGTGGGGGAAAAAAACTCCTAAAGTTAATTTTCCTGAGGTCAAGTTGAACTTCTACTATAAATTGGAAAAGGTGGATACATTTGTTTTTAAATGATCCGCTCCATTATTCCTGAAGTCTTCTTGAGTAAGATGTTTATGGAATCTGGTAAAGCCTCAAGAAAAATAACAGGTGAGTGTTTTTCTTAAATGTTACTATTAAAATATTTGCAGCAGCAGTTGAGTGAGCATTTTAGTACATAATAGTACAGTAACTCCTCACTTAACATTGTAGTTATGTTCCTGAAAAATGCAACTTTAAGTGAAACAATGTTAAGTGAATCCAATTTCCCCCCAAAAATGAATGTAAATGGGGGGGTTAGGTTCCAGGGAAGTTTTTTTTTTTGCCATACAGTACAGTACTATAGTTGGGAGGTGCCCTCGCCTTACCCCACACAGGCACAGCCCACTGGCACTGGAGACAGTGAGGCAGGCAAGGAGGCTGAAGGTGCTGTAGGCTAGGAGAAACATGTTGCGCAGCAGCACCGACAGCTTCCCCTACTCTGCAAGCACCAGGGGCGGGGGGGGCTCAACTCTCGGCCCACCCACGCAACCCCTTCCCCCAAGCACCCACCCTTAACCCGCCTCTTCCCTCCCCCTCCTCCCCCTTTACTCTGCACCCCGTGTCCTCGCTCCTCCCCTGCCTCCTGCTCGCGGCAATCAGCTGGCTTGCAGCATTCAGGAGGCGGGGGGAGGAGCGAGGACACGGCGCGCAGGCTCCCCCTCCCTCCCCTGCCTCCTGAACAGCACAAGCCATCTGATTGCCACGGGGGGGGGGAAGGAGGGAGGAGGTGATGGGGGGCTGCCAGCTGTGGACAAAGCAGGCAGCCAAACGACGTTAGAGCAAAGCATTTCACAATTTTAAATGGAGCATGTTCTGTAATTGAGCAGGGACGTAAGATCGAAAGAATGTTAAGCTAGAGGACGTTAAGTGGGGAGTTACTGTATATAAACTGACTAGAATAGGTTCTGAAAACAAATACACAGCTGGGAAAATGTAAATGCTAGATTTTAAACGAACAAAACTCTCTCAATTCTCTGCCAAGCTGTGGACATATTGCTTTAGGAGAAGTTACTGAAAACTGGTGTTTTGCTCTTCTCCCACTTCCTTCTGCATGTAAAAATGTTCTAGTAAGTTCTGGACTTGCATAACAAGTTCTTTTCAACATGAAGCCTTCTTGCATAATATAGATACCTGCTTCAGAATACCTTGTATTTGGGTCTTCTCTCAAGCTATGAAAAAATAAAAGATGAAGCACAGTAATAGTTTTAGGGAATAATAATTAAATTATTTCAGGGCCTCCAATGAATAAAGAATAGATGTGGGAAACCTTGAATACCCTACAACTTCCAGTACATGCTTATAACAAATCTCCTCAAGAATGGAATGGAACTTTTAATAAGGAGGAAGGAAAGAAGTTCTTGGGGCTGAGGCACTAGAATCAGACTTGGGAGAGGTAGGTTAGATTTGGCAAGCCATTTAATCCATCTGTGCCTCAGTCCCTTATGGTTAAAGTAGAGATACTGTGTCCCTTTTTTGTAGGGATTACTCCGACTAGAGATAGGCCATATAAATATTGGCTCAAGACTAATTTCATAAGGAGATGAAATGGAGAAACTTGAAATTGTAACAGTAAGTTGAGTTTTAATTCTAATGTGTAAATAGGTCAGTTTTCGTAAAAGCTTGCAGGCAGTGAAAAAACAAAAACAAAATTAGATGGAAATTTGCTGCTGCTGTACATGGAATTTAAGTGGTAACATTAAAAATGAAGTCACTGTTTTTCTGCTTGAAAGCATAACAGGATACCGTGGCACTGGAGACTAACTCCTGTTTAGGTGCATAGAAACGTCAGAACTTCCAAAAACCCAACTCCTGACTAAAATCATTAATGGTATGTAAAGACTTAATATTGTAAAAAGTATGTCATGGTCAAAGTAGCCCTTGGAATACTTTGCAAATTGAAAGCCTTACAGTGTAGTTCGCAAGATTCATCTGTCCATTGAGATCAGCGAATGCTGTTGTACTGTGTGCTGGAAACACAGGGTCCATGAAGAGTTAATGACACTTTCATGTGAGGTGAGTTCTTGAAGGGTTGAGGGCTTCAGGAGGAGGATTATTTATACTGAAGCGAGCTCACCGCTAGCTGAATAAAGTCACTGTTTAGGATTTTGTAAAGTATTAAGCAAATGTAAGGCAACAGAAGTAATAGCAAATTGGACTGGGAAAGGCTGGGACAGTGGGTGTTTGCTCAGAAGTAATTGGAGGATGTCTGAGGCACTTGATGGAGTGGCAAGTTTCTGTGCAGGCCTTGTGGCATACAGTGCTGCACTTCATCAAATGGCAGTATGTTTGGTATGTTCTCGCCTTCAATCCCCTGCTTTTTAGGATGAACAGATCAAAGGCCATTCTTTTGTGTGTGTTGTGCAGAGAAGTTCTACGCTTCAGAAACCGTAACGGGTTTTGATATAGAAGTTAGAGCAATTAAATCTATTTGCTCTCGGAGCTGGGATTTCCTAGTATAAAAAGAATTGCTGGCAATGAATATGTGGGTGGTTGTGGCCTTAACTGTAATCTAACTACCCTAAAACTGTATCCCAGATGGAGCCCCCCCCCCTTTTTTTTTCCCAATGAACTGCTTCGTAAATCTAGAAAGGTGCAGCAGAGGTGCATGTAATGTGTCCCTCAGATTCTCCTAATGTTGGCGTTCTTAGCACTTCGGTACAGAACTTTACATGTGTAGCTCTCTGATTTAGCAGGTAATTATAGTCCTGTTTGTTCCTCAAAACAATCGCTTGTTAAATTAGGATACAGGCAGGAGCTGGGACCCAAGTGATAGGTTCCTTCGGACATTCCATTTCTAGCACTGTGGGAAGCAAAGCTAGTCTCCACTTCAGTGCAATGTGGTATTGGACCGAGATGAATGTGAGCTTGAATTAGTAATAGCTTTGCAAGCCACATACACAAGCGATTGGTAGGTTGTGCATGATCTTAAACATGTAAGATCTAAAAGCTACAGATATAGAGGAAGCATGTAGTCATTTTTTGGAGACTATTGCTTCATTTAAACTCATTGCTTAGTGCTCTAGTAAAAACCTTTTAGAAGCAATTTAGCGTGGCTTCTCATGCTGCCTACTCTTAAAAATTACTGTTCCTTTCACAAAAGGGCGGGAGCAAACTCTGCATGGCCCATTTTGTAGCCCGATGTGATAGGAATGACCAAGCAGGGACTTCTTGTTACATTTCACTTTGCGGTAGAAGGATTTCCCTAAGCCTGTGGTGCTGCAGTTAATGAATGCTGCTGCTTGACACGTGTGTTCAGTTTCCTTGCCGTGGAATTCAGAGTCCATGATTTCCAGCAATGAAGGGTTCTAGAGCAACATCAAAAAGTCAATGGGAATGTTGGTAATGCAAGAGGGCATCTTGAAGTGGGCGCTAGATGTAAGGCTCCAACTTCAACGAAAGCTGGTTGGCTCTCGGAGAGCCAGAGTTTCCCGGCTCTTCTGGATGCTGTGTTTGTGTAACTTACATGCAAGCACACCGTGTATACGTGTGCCGACTGTACTGCGAATAATCTCCAGAAGAGTAGCATGGTGAGGTTAGCCAGGTAAAAGGCCAAAGACTTTGTGGATGGATGGTGGAAATAGAATAAATATTCATGTTTGTGAATTATTTAACTCTGTACAATAGAGAATTTACTTTTTCCAGAACTATAAAATTTAAGAAACTGATTACAAATCACTTGTAGACTTATCTGTTTGACTAAAATTGCAGATTAAATACTGCTTTTGTGTGTTGATGTATACGGTATCTTTTATTAAATCAAGCTAGGAAAGCTGAACTATTTTATTATGGTTATTTATTGACTTTCCTGCAAAACCATGTAAACTACATGAAAGCAAATATATATTTTTAGATCCAAGGTAAGATGTGCAGGTAACTACAAGATAAAGTATTTGTAGGGGAATAAAGACCAATTCACAGTAGCCTGATGTGCTGTAAAATCCTCATATGCAATGTGAATTTGGTGAGATGTATATTCTTTGTCACTTGTCAATTTCCTCCTTTTCCTTCTAGTTTCTACTGGCTCACTTGCTCAGCAATATGCCCACCCGAATGCTACCCTGCATCCACACCCTCCTCATCCGCAGCCTTCTGCTACGCCAACAGGACAGCAGCAGAGTCAACATGCTGGAAGCCACCCTGCTCCCAGTCCAGTGCAGGTAACAGCAAAACTCTAGAGAGCAAACATTTTGGAATATGTCTTGTAGCCCGTTGTTTTAGAAAACACTGCACCAGTCTATTACTTCAGCATCGGTTTGCTCTTCATGCAGCTCCAAACGTATTCTTCTTGACAAATAATCTTTTCTAGCGGCTATGTTCATACTCCCGTGTTCCAGAAATAATGTGGCTTGGAAATATCATTTCCTTATGATTTGCATGTGAATCCAAAGTGAAGTGCAGTCGGCCTGCCTTTATACCAATGTGTGATGATAGTAATAAGGGTAAAGGATAGTGAACAATGGCTTAAAAACATTTGTGTAAACAGCAGGGGGTGGTTCTTCCCCCACCCCTGTGCACACAGAAGTCCAGTAATTGGAAGTTACTCATTTGACCCTTTTTGATAAGGAATGGGGGGCAGGTGGCTCAGCAGTGATTTGCGATTCATTAAGGACTGTCACTCCCCTGATGCATCTGGCTGCAAGTTCGGTAGGTGTGGATTTATGGTGTGGAAGTTAGTCACAGACAGAAGTACTGAAAGATGGCTTTTGGTTTTTACATGATAGCCTCAATTCTGGAGAACACATCAGGTCTGCAGGCTCCAGTGACTTCCCCCCCTGTGCAACAGACCTGGATAATGAGACCTACAGGATCAGAATGTGGCACTTTATTTTGTGTTATTTGTGCAGTGTATATAGGGAGATCTTTCTAAAATGTTTGATATTAAGTGGAATTTTAATAATTCATTATTATTTCCATGGAATAAATATTAATCATTTCTCCCCTGGAACCAAAACCTGAAACTCACTAATTCTTCCTCCTGTTTGCTTTGCAGCATCACCAGCACCAGGCTGCTCAGGCACTCCACCTGGCAAACCCACAGCAGCAGTCAGCAATGTACCATGCTGGTCTTGCTCCAACCCCACCTTCCATGACACCGGGCTCCAATACGCAGTCTCCACAAAATAGTTTCCCAACAGCACAACAAACAGTCTTCACTATTCATCCTTCCCATGTTCAGCCGGCATATACCAATCCGCCACACATGGCCCATGTACCCCAGGTAAACAAACTTTAACAACCTTCCAAAGACTGAATGTCCTGTTGCCTTAAAGATCTCGCCTTCGCATGGGGTAGTGGCCTCTTTTTACATCATTTCTCTTGGCCGACTATTTTCTGTGTTGCTTAGGTTTCTGTTTGCACAGTGCCGTTAATTTAGCAGTCTGGAGGCGCCACAGGTGCTCAAGAATCTTGCTGCACCCACTTCGTCTAAAATAGCTACTGTGGGGCTCCACTTAGAGCTTTGGAAAAGGTATTTTGTTAAAACACATTTGAATGCAAAGCCAAATCTTTATAAAAAGTCTATTCAATGAGAAATACTCAGGGGTGCTTGGAAACTCCTGAGAGGATTATGAAGAACTTCAGCAGAGGTTAAAATGAGGTGGGAAGGAAAGAGAGTAACCACGTACATTGATGGGTTGTCAATTCAATTGCCATTGAGGCTATGGGGGACAGCTCAGTGGGCTGACCTTGAATCCTGTTTTCAGTTCTGGTCACCCCACTTCAAAACCTATATGGCAAAAATAGAAACAGGTCCAGGGAAGGGCAGTGAATGTGATTAGAGGTGTGGAGAGACCACTGCAGGAGGCACTGCAACAGAGATTGGCACTATGTAATTTAGAAAACATAGATTAGTGGAAACATAAGTGTACATCAAAGAATGGACACTTAAGCAGGATCATTCCTGTGGAGGATATTACTTCCTAACCCCAGGCAGTTAGTGGTTGCTTTATGTCTTAAATCAGAAGGGTTGATACTCCCTTTGAATGTTACCCTGACTAGTGTAACTCAAGATCTTGTTAATCTAATAGGAATCTAATCCTTTTCTGAATTCTGCTAAAATCTTTCACTCAATCTCTGGGACAGTCTCTGTTCAAGTTAATTAGGAGATGTGGAAAAAAAGTTGCTTTTACCATATTTCCTTTTACCCATTCTAAATGTGTAGCTTTTTAATTTCAGAGTCTCCCATTGCCTTGCTCTTGTGTTGTGAAGGAACCCCCCCAACTGACTTTCTTTAGCCAACTTGTTACAAGGCCTTTTATCTTCCTCCGAAGCATCTGGCCATTGCCTCAAACAGGATATTGGTGTAGGTGGGATATTGATCTGCCTTAGCTTGGTAGTTCTGTATCTGACTAGATTTTGTAGTTCCTTTGGGGTCCCCGTAAAGTCCTGCATTTGGACCCTCAGATGTGTCTAATTGCAAGTGACTGCTATATAGACACCTAGAGCACCAAACCTCAAAAGCAGAGGTAATCCTTTCACTTCCATGATGGAAAGGACTAGGTGAACTGTACTAAAGTGTAACTGACAATTGCATACCTGTGTGCCAGCACGCTTTCCGTAAATGGAAGTTAATTGTCTAATCTTACTGGCTCCTTTTTTGCTTTGTTGGCTTCACAAAAAACGACTAAAGTAAATAAGAAGCTGCTTATAGTGCAGAATTAACTAAATGACTGTTAAAGTCTCTGATATTTTTAGTGAGCACAATCAGTCTTCTATATCTCTGATCTTGGCTTGTGGAATTCTGTGCTGTTGGTTTCACAGACATAACAACAACAGGCATGGACATCTCAAAAGATGTACAAAGTTCCAGATGGCTTCTCAGGCTGGGGCAGTGCCCCATAAGCCTCTAGTGAAGGAATGATAGCTTCATCTATCTAAAAATCTCTTATGAAATGGCTACCTCAACTGCTTACAGGAAAAACAAATAATAATCCCGAAGCACCAGAGATAGGGATTTCCTAATGCTAAATTCTATCATGAAATTCATTATCACTTTATGGTGGGAATTCCAGACGTGCTCACACCAAGGGATTAAATTAATTTCATTTTAAAGACAATCAGTAACTCAGTGCTAATTGAATCCCTGACTCACAAAACTCTGAGCATGTTACAAAAGTCAGCACCTAAGCATCAAGTTTTGCAAAGCATCATTACCGTGGCAAAAAAATCGTATATGCATGTCTGTATTGAGCATGGCTGCTATGGTTATAATAGCATTGCTTGGTCAAAGCAAAAATGCTGGTGTTCATGAGGGATGTAATGCATGAGGTTTGGAAAGCATGGCTGTTGAGCACAAACAGGGTCCTTAGTATGATTTGGGAGTTAGTTCTCATGCCTTCAGGGGCTTCTTGGAAGCTATATTACAACTTGAGGAGTTCTGTTAATCAAATGCCAGTCTGATTAAGGCTGACCGTGATACAGTAAAAGTAGTGCTTATGGAAAGAGTCGCAGGGTTTAGCCACATGGGAACTTTGCCCTTTCTGCACATCTAACTTGAATGAGTCTGAAGTCCTAGCCAGTGCCTGCTACTGTCTGGAGTGGTGTCTGGCATCTGAGTTTCCTCTGCCAGTTCACTTAAAACACACCCACAACTAAAATGGGCAAAACCAATTTTCTTTTGAAAACTTGTTTGAATCTAAACATGGACAGTGTTAAATGCTGTCTGGTTTTTGAGGGTCATCTTGTAATTGAGAAATTACTGCTCGAGATTGATAGGGCTTTCACCTAGGAAATATAGATCGTCCCTCTGACTGCCTCCTGTCAGGAAGCGTTACTAATAAGTGACAGGAGTTTCCCCACCAACTGAGGAGATACATTACTTGCTTATAAGGTGCTAAGCAGTGAGACAGATGCAGCTCACTTTTCCTTTGGGGATTAATTATGAATGCTTTCAGTACACAAGAACTGTGATATTGTGAGCTTAACTGAAAATAGAACAGATCTGAGCTAGCTGCATTACATAGTGGAATGAAGGGGGATATTACGAATTTTCAACTGTTTATGTGGGAGCGAATATAGCTATAGAGAGAGACTGGACATTAGAGAGACAATGGGCATCTAGGACAGGTGAACGTGATGAAATTGGGAATTGTAGACAGGTGAGAAACCAAGTTCATTTCATTGAGGTGTGAAGTTTTTGTTGGAGACTTTTGCTGGGGAAAAATGTAGAAATCTTTGCCTTTGCTTCATGCTTTTCCTTCCTCCTTACAACCATGCGTTCCTATGAGGTACTGAGAAGGGGATGGTGGCTCTTCATGTATGTAAAGGCCTATATAAGGGCCTGTTATTTGTGTGCAGTGTCCAGTTCATTCTCTGCATAGGAAATGCTTCTCAATTCTTAACAAAATGTCTAAAGATTTTATTAAAATAATATTCCAAAAGTATCCTTTACCAGTGCGCTTAGTCAGCCATGAGCTCCTGCCCAAACTGAGGAGATGTCAGCAAAGCCAAGAATAAGGATTTGACACCTTGTGTTTTAAAATCTCAAACTTACTCCCTATGTGCACATTCTAGCCAATTGACTTAAAATGGAGTAAATCTCAGGATTTACTATTACAGTTGGAGGAATCTTTGCTAGTCATGTGGCCAGGAGTGTTGCCTCCTTGTGACCATTATACTAAAGAGCTCTTTGTTTCAGGCTCATGTACAGTCAGGAATGGTTCCTTCTCACCCAACTGCCCATGCTCCAATGATGCTAATGACGACACAGCCACCTGGTGGTCCCCAAGCCGCCATCGCTCAAAGTGCACTACAGCCCATTCCAGTCTCGACAACAACACATTTCCCCTATATGACGCACCCTTCAGGTGAGGAGTGTGTGCGTGTGAGACCTGCACCTTAACTGAGCCAGGTCAAATTAGTGAGCAAAACAGTTATGAGCCAGGTTTGGGTTAGAAACAAAAAACCGTAAGATGTCCTTTTACAGAGGCAAACTGCTGAAGGTGGCAGACAGTATTTCTGCAGTTAGTATTTATATTTTGCTGCTCCAAATGTGAACTTAGTATGCATACAAGATGAACGAAGTTAGCAAAGACTTTATTTCTGTATGACTGAAACATATTATGCAGACTTCAGTGTGTGTAGGACAATATCCGCCTGCCCTTGTCTTGGGGGTAGAATATCTAGGTGGCTTATGGTGTAATGATCCAAGTTTTGTACATGTAAAATATATACAGTGTCTTGAGGATAGTTGTAAAAAGGATACGAGTATTCCTGGCAACTAATGGCTGAAGGCAGATGGCATTTTGAAGTTGACTTTTTATCCCAAGAGCGACATTTTGCAGTACTGTTGCTTGGGAAAAACCAGGCCCTACTTGTTTTGTTGCTCCTTAAATGTAACTCTTACCTAGGTGTCTCAAATCCTGTTTTTTCCCCAAGCAGGGTGTGAACTTGTACAGTGAACTAATACCTGGTTTTGTGTGGTGCGGAATGGGTGGGGAAAATAAATGTTGCTTTCTTAGGGTTTAGATAGAAAAACAGCCAAAGGACATCTTAATGCAGGTTTTTTTACAGACTTGAGCTAAATAGTTATCCTGTGATTTGATTAACTAGCACATTGTTGTATGGCTTCTCAATCTGCTATTTACACCTGCACTCTCTTTTTTGCAGTACAAGCCCACCACCAACAGCAGTTGTAAGGCTGATCTGGAGTAACAAAGGCTGGATACCTTTTGTAGGCCAAATACCTTCCTTCCACTGCTTCTGCCAACTGGAAGCACAGAAAACTAGAATTTCATTTATTTTGTTTAAAAAAAAAAAAATTTGATTTCTTGTAACATCCAATAGGAATGCTAACAGTTCATCTTGCAGTGGGAGAGATTCGGACTGAGTAGAGGCATGTGGGAACTTGTGGGTTATTCCATAATTCCATACACTGTATCAGAGTCCTGCAGGTGCCCAAACTCTGCTTGCTGAAAACTGGAAGTTATTTATTTTTTAATGACCCTTCAAAGTTATGAACTCATCAGCTAGCAAAAGAAGTAACACAAGTGATTCTTGCTGCTATTATCACTAAAAATCAAGACTCGGAGATCCCTTTTACGTCTAATAAACTTGAAACAGGTTCAGTAAAAAAAAATTCTAATCGTCAAACTGATGGATTATTATTTATAAATCACGTTTGATGAAGTGATCACTATTGCAAGACAGTGATGTAACTTTTAAGTTAAGAAAACTTTTACTTTGTAGATAATATAAAATAAAAACTTTAAAAAAAAATTAAAAAATAAAAAAAGTTTTAAAAACTGATCAATCTGGTGTGTGTATGTTTCTCTAGCTTTAAGATTCTGTCCAATTTAATGTCAGGTAAAATTGATTTGGCATTATGAAATTTAAATAGTATATGATGTCAAACCTTTGACATGTTTTTCTATGCAAGACATAAGGAGGTTTGGTATAACTATTAATTTACCATACATATTATTTCAGTCAAAGTATCCTACTTTAAATGCCTCTGTTTACCAGAAGCTGGGAATGGGCGACCAGGGATGGATCACTTGATGATTAACTGTTCTGTTCACTCCCTCTGGGGCACCTGGCATTGGCCACTGTCGAAAGACAGGATACTGGGCTAGATGGACCTTTGGTCTGACTCAGTCTGGCCGTTCTTATGTTCTTAGCTCTCTAGATTCAACTGCGGTAGCTTCGGTCCACAATGTAGCATCTTCTGAAAGAAGCCGAATGGGAAGTCTTGATGCTTGGGACAGAAGAGACGCTGCAAAGGTCAGTCGTGTGTGTTGGTGTTTGGGGAAGCTACTTGCCAGGCTGAGCAAGAAAAAGCTGCGGTAGTGACGGGCAAAATATGAGATAGAATTATCGAAAAAGACTAGAAGAAAAGTACGTGAATTTCATGTGTTTAGTACTTCACGCAAATGTGAGCTACCTCAGCCCATGTCCATAACATGTACTGTGGTCTTCACCGCTGTTCCTTATGGAGCATATTTGCATCTGCTAACCAAAAGTTAATGGATAGGATAGGAGGAGAAAAACAGTGACCTATTAAGGTACAAACCAGTTGTTGCATTTCAAAGGTGAGTTAATAATGTTTGTGTAAATATGTACATATTAAATATAGCTGGCAAAGTATACCAGGGCTCAGTGCAAGATGAGGCTAAATAGTACTTGACACTATAGTTAGTCTTGTAAGTCAATCCACTATGTGGACACAGTACAATGAAAATGTCACTGCTCTACAGAAGTAATTCTGACAGGCACTAGGGGGCATAAAACCATTAAATAACCAAGTGAGTAAATATACCTTGTACTTCTGTTCATCAAATACTCTATTCATAAAGAACACAGCATAGCTTGTTGAAGTAGATTATCAAACATTCATGTAACTGTGAGACAAGGTGGGGGAGATGATATCTTTTGTTGGCCCAACTTCTGTTGGCAAGAGAGACAAGCTTTCGAGCTTACACAGAGCTCTTCTTCAGGTCTGGGCAACTTACCTGCAGTATCAGAGCTAAATACAAGATGAAACAGATTGTTTAGCGTGAGTAGTTAACATATTTCAAGGGACCATTCAAGGCGATGTGGCCCCTCCACTTACAGGGAAGGAAGGGAGAGGAAGTAGCTGGGGGATTGTTAGCAGGTTACAGATTGTTGTAATAAGCCATAAATCCAGTGTCTCTTTTCAGTCCATGATTTTTAGTGTCTAGCAAAGATCTGAATTTAAGCTCCCAGGCTCATCTTTAGAAAGCGTTGTGCAGGTTTCCTTTGAGGAGGAAGACTGATAGGTCAGATACAGAATGATCATTTTGTGAAAAGTGTTCGCTCACAGGTGATGTGATGTTTTTGTCTTTTATTGTTTTCCTGTGTGAGTTCATTCAAGAGCGTAATGATTGGTTTCAGCCACGTTGTTGTTGTTGGGGCATTTAGTGCACTGGGTGAGGTATGCTCAAAAGCTTGTCTCTAGAGACCTGCAAAAATGCGGATATCCGTTTGATATCTGCGGCTATCTGTGGACCATGTATCTGCATCCGATCCGCCAACAAATTTTGTATCCACACATGGCTCTACTTGTCTGGCTCACGAACAGAAGTTGGTTCTATAAAAAATAAGACCTTGCCCACCTTGGCGCTCTCATATCCTGGGACCAACATGGCTACAACACCATCATACATTCATGTAACTTTCATTTCTAAAAGTGGGGAGGGAGGGCTCGTGTACTCTAGCAGCTATTAGTCCAATATAGACTCATAGACTTTAAGGTCAGAAGGGACCATTATGATCATCTAGTCTGACCTCCCGCATGATGCAGGCCACAAAAGCTGACCCACCCACTCTTGGAATAATTCTCTCCCTTGACTCAGCTGTTGAAGTCCCCAAATCATGATTTAAAGACTTCAAGTCGCAGAGAATCCTCCAGCAAGCGACCCCTGCCCCATGCTGCGGAGGAAGGCGAAAAACCTCCAGGGCCTCTGCCAATCTACCCTGGAGGAAAATTCCTTCCTGACCCCAAATATGGCGATCAGCTGAACCCTGAGCATGCGAGCAAGATTCTCCAGCCAGACCCTCCGGAAAAAAGTTCTCTGTAGTAACTTTTAATATCCCATCATTGACCATTGTTACTAATTACCAGCGATGGCACGTTACTGACCTATTGACTAAAATCACGTTATCCCATCAAACCATCCCCTCCATAAATTTATCAAGCTTAATCTTAAAGCCAGAGAGGTCTTTCGCCCCCACTTTCCCTCAGAAGGATGTTCCAGAACTTCACCCCTCTGACGGTTAGAAACCTTCATCTAATTTCAAGCCTAAACTTCCCGACGGCCAGTTTATATCCATTTGTTCTCGTGTCCACATTAGTACTGAGCTGAAATAATATCTGGCAAGTCAGTGAGAGCTTCTGGAGAAAATTAGGCTAAAAGTATTAATATAAGAACAAACGGATTCTAAAAACAATTTATTTAAGAGCAGATTTGTACATTATAGCAAAATTGCATTATTCAAGAATAAGTTACTTGTACAGTACATACAGAAATAATACATAGAAAATCTACTATACAAGAATTCTTCTGTTGATGAAAAGTAGAGCTTTGAAATAAATGCACTTGATTCCAACAAAACCCTTGTTGGCCTTAATTTGCCTATGGGATAAAAAGGCAGTGAACAATAGAATGCACTCTCAACTCTTACGCTGTGGGCATGTGCTGGCTAAGATAACGTCCTGTTCTCATACAACAAGCTTTTACGTTGAAATACGGAATATTGTACTCAAACTTGTCAGTCAAGACTGAAAGACCTTATATGCATAGGAAAGTAAAACCACATCGGCTCTAAACTGACCGTTTTCTGTGGTCCAAGGAATAGCAACAGTCAATCAATATTGCGTCACTGGGGCACAGACTAAGCTGCCTTTTGGATGATGTTGGCTTTGATGCTTCCGCTGCTGGACCTGGACCTTTTCCTCAAAGCTTCGCTGTGGAACGCAGCCTTGACGCAAAAGGATCAATGAGGTTGCTGTCGGTGTTTTAGGTACCCTGTTCTTAAATGCTGGGTTAGCCTTTCCCTGTCGGGTTAGCCTAGTCAGTGGGCTAGACCGGAATGGTACTTCATATTGATAACACAAACTTCTCCTGCACGGCCTGTCTACCAGGAGGACATGCAAGAGTTGCCTGTAGGCAGTACCTGTTTGTCAGCAAATAGCAAATAAGGCTTTTCATAAGAATAAGGGGGTGTAGAGTTGGGGGCGGGAGGGCTCTGTTTCTCTTTTGGCACAGCCAGTAGGCTCTATCACAGTTACCTGCTAAACCAGGCTTCTGCCTGGCACTAGGCTGAGCTAGTTGAGGCACTACATACTGTTACGTCTTCACTGTGGAGTGCAGCCCTAACTTGCTGCTAGGAAAAGAGAAACGTTTCATTAGTCCAGCCACCTGTTATTGCTGTGGAAGACCGGAAATGCTGGTCTCCTTTCTGGTGCCAGCCCTTCGACAAGCTGTTTTCAATCAGTCAGCCTCAGCGGTAAGACTTTGGAACCAATCAGATTTAATTGTGTGTGCCCCTTCTCTGGACCCTGAGACTCTAGCAGGGGCTGAGAACTTAGCCCAAAGCAGGCAGCTTGCTGGCAGTGTTCCCCGGTATCCGGTAGTCCAGGTGAGAAGGCAACTGTGCTCAGCTGCTAAGGTGAGACATGCGAACGTTCAGTGCCCCCCTTTGCCTTTTCATCCTGCTAAGGCTGTGCCTATTGAAAGCAACTGTCTTGAGAACGCTTCATAAATGCGGCTAATTCCTTGGCCTACAAGATGTTGTTAATGTGCTTTTAAATATAAAAAAATCTTACAATAAAAGTCTACGTTGAAACATGCCACACACCTTCACTAGTTACTTAGCAAAAAGATCTTTGAAAAGTCCATAAAATTACTTTGAAGTCGCTTATATTTCAAGGGCTTAACATTTTGTCCCCAGGTTTCTACTAGAGCATTGTGTATCCTGAGTTAGTTATGAAATAGATTCCCTTCCTCTTCTGTACGGCCAGGACTAAGTCAGACTTGGAAATGGATCACAAGCCAACTACTTTTTAAGCAGGGATGGAATGCTGAGAAGTTCAGCCTCCCACAACCTGGGAAAATAGATTAAAGAACTGACCCTGCAATTATCATTATAATTGGTTTTAGGACCCCAACACCAAAGTGAGGGGGAGATGAGAGGCTCTGTTGGAGCAACAGAGGGAAGGACTGGAAGAATATTTGCCCAGTTAGGGAAAGTAGACCTTTGGCTGGAGAAGGAAAGGAATGAGATGGGTTGAACACTGCTGGGGAAGGCTGGAGGTGTACAATTCTTCAGATTCCATACACAATCCCCTTCAGTGGTGAACTGGAGTGGTCTGCCAGCCTTTCATTCTGAATGATCAAGCTTCTTCCTAGCTTTGGCTAACTTGACAGTGAAATTCTAGAAGGAAACAACTGCAACTTCGGTGAAAAATCAGAGCAACTTTCCAACTAGGTACCAGGAGAAGGAACTTATAGTCACATTCCTGGATTTGTTTGCATAGGAGCACTGAATGAATGACGACAAACTTGGTGTATATTGTATTAAATAAGAAAAGCAAGTTCCATTTAGTCCAGAAAGAAGGCCCTGGCAATTAAACATAATACCATATGTGTGTACATTTGGTTGCTGGCACTTAAACAATAAGATTTAGGCCAAAAATCTCAACCCAGAAGCAGCATGGGTGCTTTGTTTACCAACAGGCATGAGAGCTGTGATGAGCATTCCACCTTCACACCCCTTTCAGTCACAGCCACTCTCCTGCCTTGCTGTGATCATGGAATGAGGTAGGCCAAGGCTGCCTTGTCTACTGTTGAATGAATACTCTGAGCATACCTGCCAAAAGTGTGGGTTGGTTAGTGGTCAGTAGGATATGATGATGGCTTTGAAGCGAAGTTTAGCCTATAAAACAAGCACTTCCTAAGGGTTGCAGAGAGAAGTTGAGACTGTCTTGGTTTTTCTGTCCCTTGCAGTCTGCTTGTGCATTAGAAATGTGTTTGGAATTCAAGTGGCCAGTGCCCTTATCCTCACCATTTATAAAAAATTGAGACTGCAGAATTCCAGTTTCTGATGGTGCAGAAATCCTGGTCCCATTTATGTATATAGAACTTAATTCTAAGGCCAGAATTTTTAAGGGCCTTTCCATGAAGGGAGACACTGACTTGACAAAGTGCTGTCAAATGCACAAAAGTGAGCTAGAGGGAACAGCATCTTTTGCAAACTTCCAGTAATTGTAAGACACGTACTGGGTGTACAAAATTCAGACACTAGAGGCGCTTTAAGTTGAATGTCCTTTTTTTTTTAAGCGTTGCTCCCTTAAGCCACATTCCAGAGAGTCTCTTCTACCATAGAGCCCCTTCTGGTGTGGCTCAACTTTGGCATAACTGAAATGCTTTACCTTGAAAAGAGGTTGGGTCTAGTGACGATTTTACTAATAAACTAGAAGGTACAAAAATTCTTAATTACAAACACAAAGGTTGTGGGTTAAAGGTTGAATTTTCAAATGCATCGAAGTGAATTAAGGGCACAAATTTCTGTTGACTTGCAGATAGACCTGAGCTCAAGTTATTTAGGAGCTTTAAAAAAAACCTCACTTTAATCTTGAACTAATTGTGAGAAGAACAAATTGCCTCTGTGTACCATAAAATATTATGGGGCGTGACATCAAAGTATATAAATGTAACTTGGTTTGAATTCTAGAAGCTGATATTATGAGAAGGAGATGGCCTGTCTGATCGCGCATGGGCATGAAGGCATCTTGTCCACACTAAGTGTCAGACCCTCGGGGGGGGGAAGGGGAGAAGACAGCTGAGAAACTTTTCCCTGTTCTATAGGGGTTAGTGAAATTATCTATTTACTGCTTGTGACTCTATAAATCTTAACTCATACCACACAGTTCTACACAGACCCGTCTCAGTAAAGCAGCACAAAGGCAAATATGTCACATCTCCTCCTGTAACTGTAATTCTAACTGAGGAAATGCCAAAGTCTAACCCTAGTCACAACAAGGTACGAGAAGAAGGGTCATTAGTGCACCCTCCTCTTTGTTCCACCGAAGGGGCTCCTGTTGCTTCTCCATAAAGAGCAAAAGCGTTGTCAAAAACCCAACAGTCAAAGTGATTTTCCTGAAACCTACAGGCGAGGGGAATATTGGGGAGAAAAGGTTGCACCCACTCTGGCTGGAAAACCATGACACACAGAGGAGTCGTATTTGCATAGCTTTACTTATCAAAATATGCTCTAGTATTTAAAGAGTTGGTTTTTTTAAATGCAAGCAACAGTGGCTGGTTATCAACACCCCTCCTGTTTTGAAGAACCAACCTGAGGTAACATATTTGGAAAAAAACTTTTGCTGAACTCTAGACTTGTGCTTAAAAGATTTCCATAGCAGAAAGGAAGTTTTACTCCAAGGCTATGACAAGATGTCAGTCTCCTCTTTTGTCCGCTGATCAGTTACGTTAAGCCTATATTAATAGGAGGAAGTTAGTGTTCACTTTTTAATCGTGACTAATAGATGGAAGCATTTCCTTTGCCCATGGCTGTAGCAGTGACTTCAAGGGCTCCATTGTTTGTTTTTTTAAATGCTAACGTGATTTAAGTTAAAGCCCGTACTCTCCCTAGCCAAAAGTAATGAACGAACTCTTAGGTTAGCGATAAGGCTACTGCTCTGTTAGAAATATGGAACTATGACTTACGCAACTGCAGCACATTCCTTGGCCATCAGGAAGTGACTTTTCTTTGTTTATGCACAGCCCAGATCGGTAACTTGTCACAAAGAACTTCACATCCATTTTTGTCCAATTATGTGGCTGTAATGGACCCTTCTGGTTTCTTTTCTGGGCTCTGTCATGTGACAAAGGGCAGTGAAGACCAAAAGCACCTGTAACATAGACTCTGTACCAATGACTAAGTGCAGATATTAGCCTACAGGGCAGAGAGCCTGGCATGTTAACAGGAACGACGTGTAAACAGTCATAAGAAAGCTTTAATATGTAAAACAGGCCCTTTAACAGGCCTAATAGAGGGATCACACCCATACTGGAGTGAACAGTTTATATATCTTACCCCCTCCCTTACCAAAAAAAAAATAAATCCCAAATTACATTCTTTTCATAGGCTTCCCACAATCTATAGCAGAAGTTTTCTAACAGGGCTCCAAGCCAAAGTGCGTGGTTTGCACCCCTCCCCCCTATCTTGTCAGAGTGGTGTGTATTGATTGTCAATAGCCCGAATGTGGCCCCTCCCAGGGGAATCCAGCTCGTAGTCAGAGTCCCGCTGCCGGCTGGAGTGCGTGCCGGCCACATTGCTGTCTCGGAGGCTGTTGGCCAGTTCTTCTGGAGAGGGCACCAGGTGGAAGATCTGTTCTGGCTGAGAACTGTGGTGAATGTCGTCTGTCATGTGTAGCCGGGGGCAGTTGGAGGGACTGAGGGGGGTAAAGTTGAGTTCGGAGCTCCAATTAGGGATGGAGAACGGGAACAAGATGGTGTTGCTTGAGCCCAAACCTAGAGGGAGAGGGGAGAAATCCAAGCATTCGATAACTGGCCAGGGGATGGGCAGGCTCCTAAGAGAAACCCAAGCCAGGTTGGGTAAGTTTCCTCAGCTGTGGATCTTAAGCTTTCTCCGGTGTCCTTCCTAAGCACCTAGCCCTTGATCCTGCATGTACCCTGGCCAGCTAGCTAATGCCGGGGGGGGGGTGTGTGTCAGAGGGAGGGTGACAGCACTAAGGCGCACAGAACTAGAGAAGGTCTATGGTTACCCTGTCCACCCTCTCTCTGCTCAGTCCTAAAGAGCTGGCTGCAGCGGCAGCGCAGCTGTCAAACTGGCTCTCCTTAGAAAGGTGGGGTAAACCTCTCCTTGGTGCAATCTACAGCAGGGGGTGCTTCCCCCTAAGGGGTCTGTGCCACCAAAAGCGGCCTGGGCTGCTCCTGCTCAGCCCAGGCTGGTTGGCAGAGGAGTTGAAGCTGCAGCCTACAGCTCCAAAGCCTGGAGGGGGCGTTGCTGTGCTCCACCTCGGGTGACCCGTTCCACGCAAAGGATTTGATCAGTACTCCTAGAACAGCCTGTTCTGAATCAGATCTCCCTGAGCTGGCAATGGGAAACGGGCTGAGCTGCCCCTGTGGTCAGTGGTTAGGGCAGCTTCTCTTTTAGAAAGAGGAAACACACACAGGGTGACTTTCAAGCTCTTTGTCTCTGCAGAGGCGCTTCCTGCTCTGAATGCAGGCTCCCAGCCCTGTGGCCTTGCTGCACCTGTCTGCGCCAAGGAGCCAGTGCGATCACTTGGCTAACAGGCTGTTGCCATTGACTCCTGCGAAATGCAGGAGGGAACTGGGCTTATTTAGTCTGCAGAAGAGAAGAGTGAGGGGGGATTTGATAGCAGCCTTCAACTACCTGAAGGGGGGGTTCCAAAGAGGATGGAGTTCGGCTGTTCTCAGTGGTGGCAGATGACAGAACAAGGAGTAATGGTCTCAAGTTGCAGTGGGGGAGGTTTAGGTTGGATATTAGGAAAAACTTTTTCACTAGGAGGGTGGTGAAGCACTGGAATGGGTTACCAAGGGAGGTGGTGGAATCTCCAGCCTTAGAGGTTTTTAAGGCCTGGCTTGACAAAGCCCTGGATGAGGTCTCTTCCACCCCTCCTCTTCTATGATTCTTCCTCCTCTTGCTACCCACTCCGTGACCAGCTACCAGCACCAGCTCTAGGAATGCAGTGGCAGCTTTGCTCATGTTTGATAGCAGAGCCCATAGCCGCCACAGGGAGGGAGTGAACTCTTCAGGGGAGAGCTCCCTCTAGCAACCTAGGACCTACTATTTTCAGCAGGCCTCGCGGTGCCTGGCCCATACTCCTCCCCTTACCTCTTGAGGCCTGAATTACCTCCTGCTTCAGTTCAGTTCTATCTACTCTTTCCCTGCAAATTCATATTCCCTTTGCCAGAGCTAGAGGCTCCAGCGTCTGCAAGATCTGTGCTCATTTAAGTTAGCTTCACACTACAGCCTGGTAAAGAGCACAGTGGTCAATTGTTCTCCATGTCCACTGAAGACAGACCAAGAGGTAACTGGCTTAGACACGAGGAAAAACTTTCTATGGCTAAAGCTAGTTAAGTACTGGAGCAGGTTACCAGGGTGACGGTGGAATCCACAGCACTGGAGGCTTTTCAAAACAGGCTCGACAAACACGGGTCAGGGATGGTCTAGGGTTACTTGGTCCTGCCTCAGCCCAAGGGGCCGGACTCCATGATCTCTCAAGACCCCTTCCAGCCCACTTCTGTGACTCTAGGGGTCAGCTAGGCCCTTAAGATTTCAGCCACACCGTGTTACCTGACCCTGGTTTTAAAATGTACAGAGAGAGGACGTGAGTTCAGGACACAGCGCTAAACTGAGTTCCTAGCCCTTTCCTTTCATGGCAGGGTGCAGTTCTGCTTTCTGCCCCCGGTCATCTGGCTCTCCAGCTCTTGATCATAAGGCAACTGCATGAAAGTGCCGGGGGCTCTTTGGAGTTTTGTTTTATCCAGTCGAAAACCATTCGAGCAGGAACATGCCTCTCTAACCACTTGGGGGTCACAAGGCAGCACTCCAGGCTCGGTCACGACCGCAGTCTACCCACCTCCACTGAACCACCAGGAGGAAGTTAGCTAGAGCGACCCCCTTTGAACTGCGCTCAGGGGAACTCTAAAAATCACAGCACCTGCACTAGGGCCGTGGAACCCCGCTGACCTCACGGCCCGGGGGCCAAGAGGGCTGGGTCTGCCACGGCACAAAGCTGTGCAAGCCGAGCGGGTCGGCCTGGGGCCCGCTGCAGGCTACACAGAGGCAGGCCCTTGCGTGCATTTCCTCCATAAACTGAGCTCAGAAGCAGTGCTGAAGTTTAAATAACCCGGCCTGTCCTTGGTCTACAGTGACCACAGCACTGCAATTAAAAATGTAGACGTGAAAGGCTCTGCACCTCCTCTAAACGCCACCTCGCCCCTTTCAGAGGGGGAGGGGAGGGAGAGGTAAAAGCATCTTTCACAAGTTGCGGTAAGTCAAGCGAGGGCAGAAGCAGCCAGACGCTGCACCTGAGGCTCCTACGTTCAAGCCTGTGCTGAACGGCTTCTGGGATTGCAGGGGAACCCCCACGGCTGGGTCTGGAGTCCCGCTGGCTTGGCCGGGCCTGGCCACGGGTCACACCAGAGAGGTGGGGGAGAGACTGGGTGGTTGGCACCGATTTTTGCTATTAGGACGAAGGGGAAAAGCACTGCTGCTACACACGATGCTGGGAAACTAAAGGGTCGACATAGAGGCGCCCGTAAACAGAGGCTCTACCATTGACACTTGGGATAAATCCATTCTCTCCTCATTCGAGGGCAGTGGGTGAGCTCCTGCCACAATCTCTTCCCTCCTGGCTAAGCGTGTCCAGCCCAGCGCACGTATGACAGCAGCAAGCAGCTTGGTGGTGGTAGGCAGAGGCTGCTGAATGCTGGGGGAAAGGGAGGGCAGTGGCAGGATAGGCCTGTGGTTTAGCAAACCGTCCAAAAGGCCCACAGCCCTGGCCAACGGGGTCCAGGGTCCACCTTTGACGCCTGCAAGCCAGCCACTGAGCACCTGGCTGCCGGCTCTGCTGAGGCACTAAGGTAGCGGCGGGGGGTCAGCCTGATCGTTATGGGCCATGTTTAGGGTTACCATATTTCAGCAAGCAAAAAAGAGGATGGGAGGAGCCCCACCCCCGTCCTGCCCTAGCCCCGCCCCTGCCCCTCCCACTTCCCGCCCCCCTCAGAACCCCCAACCCTCCCCCCCGCTCCTTGTCCCCTGACTGCCCCCTCCTGGGACCCCTGCCCCTAACTGCCCCCCAGGACTCCACCCCCTACCTAAGCCTCCCTGCCTCTTGTCCCCTGGCTGCCCACTCCTGAGACCCTCCCCCCATCCTAACTGGCCCCCTAGGGCCCTACCCCCTACCTGTACCCTGACTGCTCCAACCCTTATCCACACCCCCACCCCCAGACAGACCCCTGGGACTCCCACGCCCCATCCAACCACTCCCCACCCCCTGACAGCCCCCCCCCAGAACTCCCGACCCATCT